CAGTGGTGCATTTTGCTGCCTAGAGATGTTCGATCTTGTTGCTTTCATGGTTTGTTGCACTCTTTCTGTAGCTCTTCAAGTGTTAAAGGAAAAAAGGGGGATTTGCTGAGCAGGACGTGTGCAGGACTGTAACTTTTGTTCTATCAGGGCAGAGCAGTGCTAATAAATGCAATTTATACAGTATTTCAGATGGATGGCTTGCAGTCAGGACTGGGAGGGATTTCTTTTTAATGTGTCTCAGGATGGTCCTTCCTTCCTTCCTTCCTTCCTTCCTTCCTTCCTTCCTTCTATATCCTTCATTCCTCTTTTTATTTCTTTCATTCTTCCTCTTTTTTATGTCCTTCCTACCTCTTTTATGTCCTCCCTCCTTCCTTCCCTCCCTCTCTCCCTCCCTCTCTCCTTCTTTCCCTCTCTCCCTCCCTCCCTCCTTTCCTTCCTTTTATATACTTCCTTCCTCTTTTTATTTCTGTCATTCTTCCTTTTTATGTCCTTCCTACCTCTTTTATGTCCTCCCTCCCTCCTTCCTTCTCTCCCTCCCTTCCTCTTTTTATGTCTTTCCTTCCTCCCTCCCTCCCTCCCTTCCACACATTAAAAAGAAATCCCTCCCAGTCCCAATTGCTAGCCATCCATTTTGAACATAGATTACATTTATTAGTACTACTCTACACTAAAGATTAGGTTAGTAAAGGTTAAGTTAACAGAATTTACAGTCATGCACACATCCTGCTTAGCAAATCCTACTGACACTATTGTTCATTTTTTAGTAACAGTTTTTAAACAACGGGGTTTTGCAGACCACTCTTGAACTTCAAAACCTTTGGGTTGTGGGTTTTTTTGTTTTTCTTTTTGGAGAAACACAACAAATTGCCACAGGATTAAGCCTGTGAATGGATGTTTGGGAAGCTAATATTATGTAACACAGAGATTGTAATTTCTTGTCAGAAGCCATCAGAGAAGTTTGCAAATGGTGATCAGCACCCAAATTTTAATCACATGACCGTGGGAATTTTGTGATGGTTATAAATGTGAGGAGCAGTCATAAGTCACTTTTTTCAGTGCCATGTATGAACGGATTCAGACTGAATGGTCGCAATGCACATACCTGTATGTGCACTGCCTTCATTTAATGTACAGAGGTTGGGGTTTAACTAATAAATGAATGTGCAGAAGCTTTCATGAGTGAAAACTCAAGAATAATGCTCTAAGTAAACTATAAGCAGATAGAAATCAGAAATCAGCTTGATAACAAATAGAGGAAAGGAAGAGAAAGAGGACAAATAAAAAAAGAGAAAGAGTGGGAGAGGGAGAGGGGGGAAGGGGAAAGAGGAGGAGGAGGAGGAAGAAAGGGGAAGGAGAAGGGAAGGAAAAGGAGGAGAAGGAGGAAAGGAGAAAGAGAAGGAGTAGGAGTAAGAAAGAGAGAAGAAAGAAGAGAGAAGGAAAAGGAAAAGAAGGAGGAGGAGGAGGAGAAGGAGGAGGAGAAGAAGGAGAAGGAGAGGGAGAAAGGCAGGGGTGAAATCCAGCAGGTTCTGACAGATTCTGGAGAACCGGTAGCAGACATTTTGAGTAGTTCGGAGAACTGGCAAATACCACCTCTGGTTGGCCCCAGAGAGGGGTGGGAATGGAGATTTTGCAATATCCTTCCTCCACGAGTGGGGGAATTTTGCAGTATCCTTCCCCTGGAGGGGGGTGGGAATGGAGATTTTGCAGTATCCTTCACCTGCCACGCCTACCAAGCAACGCCCACCAAGCCACACCTACAGAACCTGTAGTAAAAAAAATTGGATTTCACCATTGGAGAAAGAGAAGGGGAAGGAGAAAGAGAATCTTTCGCCCATCTCAATTTTTGCATAAAGCAACTGTTTTCTCAAAACAGGATATTTCACATGGAAATGTTTTATCTTCTGGAAACGACTGTTGTTTCAGAATACTGAGACCAACGTTATCTTGAGTCCCCCAAAACATAGGAAGAGATTCTGTTGGTCATCATGTTTTACTCAGAGAACTTTGATATGAAGTTCAAAAAGAAGTATTATTCTAGAAAATAAAAGGGCTGGAAAAGACTGGGATACTCACAAGACAATTGAAGGGAAGATAAAATCCTCAGGATAAAATCCTGAATGATGTTACTGCAGCCTTCTTGGATTCAGAATTTTTACATAATTCAGTTTATCTTTTTAAATGTCTCTGGGGTTGTTCCTCATCATGTCTGTCCTTGTGGGAGGCTTACTTTGGGACATTTTGTACTTCTTCGCCCCCTTTCAATCAAGAACATTGCCAACCAAACTGGAATATTATTTCACTGTGGCATTGCTCCAAAGACAGAAGCTTCTGCATTTATTTTCACTGCATATTTAATGATCACATCAAACGTTCAGCATCTAATTGCACATAAGGATAAAGACTTAATCCAGTTATTTTTAATATGACTCTAGCAGAAGAAACTTTGGACTCTTTATGATCTCTCAGATGAATGTCTCCAAGGTTCAGTCGCTAAATCATGTCTGACTCTTCAAGACCTAGTATGCCAGGCCCACCTGTCCTCCACTGTTTCCTGGAGTTTGCCAAAATTCATGTTCATTGTGTCAATGACCTTATCTAACCATCTCATCCTCTGCTGCTCCCCGTCTCCTTTTGCTTTCCATCTTTCCCAACATCAGGATCTTCTCCAATGAATCCTCTCTTTTCATTTGGTGGCCAAAGTATCTGAGCTTCAGCTTCAGTATCTGTCCTTCCAAAGAACAGCCGGGGTTGATTTCCTTTAGGATCGACTGATTGGATCTCCTTGCAGTCCAAGGCACTCTCAAAAATTGTCCCTAAAATGATCTCCAAGGTGCAGAGCACAGATCCACGTCTGGTTCCAAACAGAGACAATATTCCACCTGGCCAGGTAGGACATCTTAGAATACAATAACAGAGTTGGAAGGAACCTTGGAGGTTTTCTTGTCCAACCCCCTGCTCAGGCAGGAAACCCTACACCACTTCAGACAAATGTTTATCCAACATCTTAAAAATTTCCAGTGTTGGAGCATTCACAACTTCTGCAGGCAAGTTGTTCCACTTATTAATTGTTCTAACTGTCAGTAAATTTCTCCTTAGTTCTAAATTGCTTCTCTCCTTGATGAGTTTCCACCCATTCCTTCTTGTCTTGCCTTTCCCCTAAAAAGTAATAAATACACAACTGAAAGAGAAGTGGTGTAGGGTTTCCTGCCTAAGCAGGGGGTTGGACTAGAAGACCTCCAAGATCCCTTCCAACTCTGTTATTCTATTCTAAAGTGGTGCTAATACTTTATGTGATTTTGATTCTATCCCTCTATTAATGCAGCCTAACATTGCATTGGCTTGTTAGTTTACTGCTGCATACTGTTTGCTCATATTTAAGTGATTGTCCACTAAAACTTTAAGAACCCTCTCACAGTTACTGCTATTGAGGCAGGTTTCACTTAATCTGTACCTATACTTTTGGTTTTTCTTGCCTAAGTGTAAAACCTTCTTTACTTTTATTTACATTGAATTTTAGTTTGTTAGATAAGGTAAAGGTCAAGGTTCCCCTCGCACATACGTGCTAGTCGGCCCCGACTCTAGGGGGCGGTGCTCATCTCCGTTTCAAAGCCGAAGAGCCAGCGCTGTCCAAAGATGACTCCGTGGTCATGTGGCCAGCATGACTCAACACCAAAGGTGCATGGAGCACTGTTACCTTCCCACCAAAGGTGGTCCCTATTTTTCTACTTGCATTTTTTACGTGCTTTTAAACTGCTAGGTTGGCAGAAGCTGGGACAAGTTACGGGAGCTCACCCCATTACGCAGCACTAGGGATTCGAACTGCTGAACTGCCGACCTTCTGATCGACAAGCTCAGTATTTTAGCCGCTGCTAGAAGCTGGGACAAGTAACGGGAGCTCACCCCGTTATGCAGCACTAGGGATTCCAACCGCTGAACTGCTGACCTTTCCATCGACAAGCTCAGCTTCTTAGCCACTGAGCCACCGTGTCCCAGTTTATTAGATAGGGTCCAATATTTAAAAAAAAAAAGAAAAGAAAAAGAAATAGGTGCATAGTATGACAGATATGCTCATTCATGGGCATAATCCTTCTTCAAGTAAAATAATGTGCGTAATGAAGCTTTTAAAAATATGATCAATTTATCCAGAATCAGAGCATTCACTTACTTATTAAATTGATGTGCCCTGGAATAAATTGCGACCCTATTAAGTGAATCATATAAAAATTAAGGATTCCCGTTTCCAACAAATTTGATTTGCATTACATTTTCAATCATTCTACTTTTCCATAGTGTCCATTTATTAGAACACCGTTGCATTAATCTTCTGTATAATTAATTTTCTACTTCATTCACGAGCTAAAATTGGGTTGTTTTTTAAAAAAAAAAAATCTTTGTACTACTATAGATTTTACATGAAAAGGGAGCTGAAAGTATCTAATTATAGAGGTAGAATCTATACCTCTAAATCTCTCCTGTAAGTTATGATGAAAGCAGTACTACATGCCTTGTTCCTAAGAGTTATACCAATTGGAGGTATAGCTGAAAGGTTAGTGGAGTCCTGGACATTTAGCAACTACAAAGGAGTAGAGAGAAAGAGAGAGAGAGAGAGAGAGTTAGTTGGCTTTTCCCAAGGTTGTACTACCCATATTTACCCAAACAAAACTGAACATTGCACAGTGATGGTTAACCTTTTTGCCATCACATGCCAGGAGGGGGGGCGGGGAAGGTTTGTGCGTGTGCGTGCCCACACTCATAATTCTATGCGCCCCATAATAGTAATAAATCAACTGAAACATATTTTGAAAGGACTATAACTTTATTAAAATGGGAAAACACATTTTAGCAAATATAAATCAAAATAAGACAGAGACGGTGTCTTATTTGATCAGGAGGAAACATTATATCTATTTATGTCAACATTTGAAGAAGATTAAGGATAAGCAGGATTCTCCTTTTAGGAAGGGAGGGAGGAAAAGAGAGAGAGGGAGGGAGAGAAGAATTCAGACATGTCTTCTGAGGTTCAGTTTTCTCCTGGACTCTCTGGAATGGAACCTCTTGGCTGTCTTCATTGACATGACTCTCTTGATTTCAGGGAAAGTTTGCTTCGTGGTCTCTGGAACCATTTTGTAGATGTATATAAGGGTTCCTATACTGAAGGGCCAAAAGATGGCACAGCTGTAGTTCTTAATTTGCATCTGAAAATGGAAAAGAATATGTGGGAAATTCAGAGAAGAGGGAGAAATACACATTTCACCCCATAAATATCATTAGCCTCTGGTTCATGAGGTTCTTATCCTGGACAAATGTCCAAAAAATACAAAAGGAAGCTACTCCTAAGTCCTAAAGACTTCCACTTACAACCATTCATTTAGTGACTGTTCAGTTAGAACACCACTGAAAAAGGTGACTTACAATCAGTTCTCACCATTGCAACCAATCAGGGGTGAAATCTACTTACCTTCCCTACCGGTTCGGAAGTGTACGCACCGCATATTTATTTTTTTTTAATTTGATTTATATGCCGCCCTTCTCCGGAGACTCAGGGCGGCTTACAATGCGTTAAGCAATAAAGTGGTGTATTTTCAACAGATTGTGGAGTAGAGGGATTCTCCCCATCCGTCCTGAATGACAGTTATACCCAATGAATCCCCAGGCAATTTAGTTAGAGGATGGGGACAAATCAGAGGTGGGTTTCAGCAGGTTCTGACCAGTTCTGAAGAACTGGTAGCAGAAATTTTGAGTAGTTCGGAGAATCGGTAGTAAAAATTCTGACTGGCCCTGCCCCCATCTATTCTCGGCCTCCCGAGTCCCAGCTGATTGGGAGGAAATGGGGATTTTGCAGTAACTTTCCCCTGGATTGGAGTGGGAATGGAGATTTTATAGTATCCTTCCCCTGCCATGCCCACCAAGCCACGCCCACTAAACCATGCCATGCCCACCAAGCCACACCACAGAATCGGTAGTATAAAATTTGAAACCCACCACTGGGACAAATGTTTGCCCGCTTCAGATGTTGTGGCGTCGAACAGATCTTGTGTGTTGTGTTGTGTTTGGGATGGTGATTGAGAAAAAGAAGAATGTGTGTTTGTGTGTGTGTTTGTGATTGAGTAAAAGGAATCTCTCTCTCTCTCTCTCTCCTTCTGTATGTGGATGTATATGTGTGTAAAATATTGTGTGTCAGTGCGTGTTTGTGATTTTGACAGAAAAAGAAGAATATGTGTTGGTGAGTGAGTGTGTATGTGTGTGTTTTTGTGTTTGTGATTGAGTAAAGTAAATACCTTTCTCTCTCTCTTGTATGTGTATGTGTGTAAGATGTTGTGTGTCAGTGAGTGTTTGTGATTGTGACTGAGAGAAAAGTAGAATATGTGTTGGTGAGTGTGTATGTGTGTCTTTTTGTGTTTGTGATTGAGTAAATCTCTCTCTCACTCTGTATGTGGATGAGGAGTGTGTAAGATATTGTATGTTGGTGCATGTTTGCAATTTGTGAGTGTGTATATGTGTGTTTGGATTTGTGATTGAATAAAATCTCTCTCTTTCTTCATTTGTATTTGTGTAAGATATTTATGTTGGTGTGTTTGTGATTGAGAAAAGGAAGAATGTGGTTTGCATTTGTGATGGAGGAAAAGGAAAATCTCTCTGTGTGTATGTCTGTGTGTGTTGTGTGTATTGTGTGTTGGTGCGTGTTTGTGAATGTGATTGAGAAAAAGAATGTGTGTTTGTGTGTGTGCATTTGTGACTGTGATAGAGGAAAAGAAAAATCTTTTTCTCTGTGTGTATGTGTACCAGATATTGCATGTCGGGGTGTATGTATGATTGGGATTGCGAAAAAAATGGATGTTCGTGTATGTTTGTCTTTGTGACTGAGTAAAAAAATATTTATCTCTCTGTGTGTAAGACATTGTGTATCGGTGTGTGTTTGTCATTGTGTTTGAGAAAAAAAAGTGTGTGTGTGTTGTGTGTGTGCTTCTGATTGAGTAAAAGAACTCTCTCTCTCTCTCTTTCTCCCTGTATGTATGTGTTATGTGCATAAGATGTTGTTTGTCGGTGTGTGTTTGTGATTGCGACTGAGAAAAAGAAGAATGTGTGTTTGTGATTGTGTTTGTGATTGTGATTGAGTAAAAACAATCTCTCTCTCTCTCTCTGCCTCCCTCTCTGTCTCTCTCTGTCTCTCTCTCTGTCTCTCTCTCTGTCTCTCTCTTTTTCTCTCTCCCTGTCTCTCTCTTTCTGTCTGTCTCTCTTTGTCTCTGTCTCTCTCTCTGTCTCTCTCTCTGTCTCCCTCTCTGTCTCTCTCTGTGTCTCTCTCTCTCTGTCTCTCTCTGTCTGTCTCTCTGTCTCTCTCTCGTGTTTGTGTGTGTTTGTATAACAGCACCCACATTTTTGGCCTCTTGTACAAAATAACTGAATAATACATGCCGCAAACTCACTTTTGAGGTCAAGTAGAGATTGGGAGGTTGAAAAGGGTTCCATTCTTTGAATAATATCGCTGTAATTCCTTTGTTCCAGGCTCCAAATGAGAGACAAAGGATAGAGAGAGATTTCTGCGGGAAATTATTCTGAAAGAGATGCTGGCCAGTTTTGAAATCACCCATTATCCTCCGCTTAGCTTCTGAATGAGATTGCAAGCATTGGCCTTGAATTATAAAGCTTACCTGGCTTGGTGCCAAAATACCTGCCAGATCACCTGTCCCATTTGTTTGACCCAAAGTTGTATGTTGAAAATCATTCCCCAAGTGAGATCTCTTCCTCCTCTCCTCCTCCTCCTCCTCCTCCTCCTCCTCCTCCTTCCTCTTCCTTCTTCTCCTTCCTTCTGCTCCTGCTCCTTCTCCTTCTTCCCAGCTTATTGCCCCCACAAACTGGGTCCTCATTTCACCTACCTTAGAAAGGATGGAAGGCTGAGTCAACCTTGAGCCTGGTAAGATTCGAAACCTGCAGAAATTGCAGGCAGCTGTGTTAATAACAGGGTGCATTAAACCACTGTACTACCAAGGCTCCTAACATCTATGACTGTTGCAGCATTCCCATGGTCAAAATTCAGATGTTTGGCAACTGGTTCACATTTTATGATGGTTGCAATGTCCCAGGGTCAACTGTGAACAAGAGAGTCAACGGGGAAGCCAGATTCACTTAACAACCGTGTTACTAATTTAACAACTGCAGTGATTCACTTAAAGACAGCAGCGAGCAAGGTCATAAAATGAAAGGAAAGCTCACTGAACAACTGTCTCGCTTAGCAACAAAAAATTGTGGCTCAGTGGTCCTAAGTCAAGGACTACTTGTAATAAGGAGAAATGATAAGTCGCATAATTCATTCCACGAAGATTCCCAATTGCTTCTGATTGGAGACAGATCTCATTCAACTCACTGGACCATTATTTCCTTTCCTGCTGAGATCTGCTTTGAGATCAATTTTACGTTCCTAGATTCCTGTTGACCCCATGTGCCTTTTGTCCAAGTTCTGTCACATTACTGGAAAGTGGATGAAGAATGTGAGATGATGTTGTTACAGTTGTTGTTTTCTTCGCTTTCAATTATAACATGTGATTGAACTAGGCTTCTGACATAAACCTTTCTAAATGCTGAGATGATCAGGAGAGGGCCTCTTCAACATGACCCATTTTCTGAATTTGTTTATATGAAACCCAGAAAGGGCTTTTTCTGGGCCACATGGACAGCAGTAGATTTTTTTTATTATTTTTTATTTTTATTTATTTTTATATGCCGCCCTTCTCCGGAGACTCAGGGTGGTTTACAATGCGTTAAGCAATAGCCTTCATCCTTTTGTATATTTTATACAAAGTCAGCTTATTGCCCCCACAAACCGGGTCCTCATTTTACCCATCTTAGAAAGGATGGAAGGCTGAGTCGACCTTGAGCCTGGTGAGAATTGAATTCGCAGTAATTGCAGGCAGCTGGATGTTAAATGCTGCCTTAGTAGGAGGCATTAGCCTCCTACGCCACTCAGGTGTAGATCATACAGATCAAACTGTATGTATTTTGCAGTGGTGGGATTCAAATTTTTTTACTACCGGTTCTGTGGGCATGGCTTGGTGGGCATGGTGTTACTTGGTGGGCGTGGCTTGGTGGGCGTGGCAAGGGAAGGATACTGCAAAATCTCCATTCCCACCCCAGTCTGGGGCCAGCCAGAGGTGGTATTTCTCTGAACGACTCAAAATTTCCACTACCGGTTCTCCAGAACCTGTCAGAACCTACTGAATAGCACCCCTGGAATTTTGCCTACTTTGCCTGAGCTTTGGGATTGAACATAGAATGGAATCTGTGCCCCAGACAGAACTGTTTTGGGGTAGGAAAGTTGAAAAAGCCAGTGATGTCACTGACAGTGGTGTGCCATTAGAGGTGTTGTGCAAGATGGTGGCCATGGACAGGGAACTTGGTTGACACACTACCAAAAAATGGCAGTGTCCCAGGAAGAAGGGAACACATTTCAGAAATTGGAGGGAGACAAGAGGTAGCACAGTCCAGAGCTGGATAGGAGACAGAGGAAGGAAGTAAACTAGACATGCCCTAGAATCTCCCAAAATGTATCCATAGGAGGAAGTAGTAAGGCTTTAATCTGGCAAGAGTTTGTTTACTGTGTGTAAGCAAACAAAGAACTGAACTGTGGCTGAATTGCTTAGCCTTGTTCTCGGGTTTAGTGCTCAGCCCCAGCTACGGACCCCAAAGAACGCAGCACACACAAAGTCTGTACAAACCTTAGTTTACTAAATTAAATCAGTCTTTTTCAAACAAAGGCTGTTAATTAACTTTCTTAACAGCCTACAAGAATCCAAAGAATAAATAATCGTAATCTTACTATGGTTGGCAGAAAGCCCAGAAGCAATTTGCAGGAAACTGATAAGAGAACTAAGATCCAGACGTGAAGGAGAGTGAACGAAGTTGTTCCTTGCAAATTGCTTCAGTTGGCGTTCCTCCTTAAATAAGCTAAGGAAGTGGCCAATTAGCCCCAAGCCTTACTCTCGAGGAGACCTCCTCCTGAGGAGCCACTCCTGCCTTTTGGCAGCTCTGCGCGCCCGTGCATCGAGAAGAGGCTCCTCCTCTTCTTCCTCTTCACTTATGGGAGCTTCTGGAGGTTCTGAAGGCCATGGATGAATCCCCACCTCTGGCACCACATCTTTTCCAGCCTCCTCATTGTCCGACTCGAGTACCAGCTGCACAGGCTGTTGGCGCAGCACCACACCAGCCTCCTCGCTGTCGGAATCAGCTACTAGCTGCACAGGCCACTGACGGGCCACAACATTTAGCCTGACAGGTATGGAGTTGCATTCCATCTCATTTCAAAAAATGACAAAACAAAAATAGTATTTCCTATATATGCGTTCTGTCTCAAGAAAGTCATAACATTTCTTCAAACTACTTATGCCTTGCTTACCAAACTTATGCCGTTGAGCTGTGAACCAGCTGTGATGACAACTATAGTGATGATTTGCAGTTGCATACTTTGAGTCCTGATTAATTTCAGCGGAGTCATGTTTTTGTTATTACCCTCAGCGAGGTCCTCCTGATACAGTTCTTCCATTTCATCTTCCACATCATCTGTCTCTCTTAGCATCTGCAGGACTGGATGGGGGAAAAATAGGAGACAATGTTTGCATTGGAAAAATGAATGAGAAAGTCATTCAGACAGTTGACCCAACGGTGCTACTAGCACCAGGATTGAGACAGTCCCCACGTCTTCTCCATAATTTAGGTTAAATTGTGCCACAACTACTTCATTCAGGCTTAGACAGTCAGGCAAACATTAGTCTTAAGTAAATGTCCAAGATAATTAACCCAGAAGAGTAGTATCCTTTCTCTTGATCTTCAAATGGACGTTTCCCTATGCACCACTAGTCATTACCATAGTAAGTCCAAGATTTCATTCCATCTGTTTGAATTGCTCCAAGCAGTCTTTATTTATTTATTTATTTATTTATTTATTTATTTATTTATTTCCAATTTATATACCGCCCTTCTCCCTGAAGACTCAGGGCGGTGTACAGCCAGAATTAAGAACATGAAATACAAATATTAAAAAACAATTAAAATATATATAAATTTGGCCCAAAAATTAAAAATCACAATCCAATTAAAGCAATTAAAAATTTCTTCTTAAGCCAGCCCGGCTTGCTGGAAAAAGTGGGTTTTAAGGGCACGGCGGAAGACGCTGAGGTCTTGGATTCTCCTTATCTCTGGGGGCAACTGATTGCAGAGGGTAGGTGCCCCCACAGAGAAGGCCCTCCCCCTGGGGGTCACCAGCCTACATTGATTGGCTGATGGCACCCTGAGGAGGCCCTCTCTGTGGGAGCGCACAGGTTGATGGGAGGTCGTCGGTAGCAGCAGGCGGTCTCGAAGATAGCTAGGCCCTATGCCATGGAGTGCTTTAAAGGTGATAACCAACACCTTGAAGCGCACCCGGAAGACCACCGGGAGCCAGTGCAGATCGCGCAGGAGCGGTGTTACATGGGATTCTCTCTTTTATTTATTTTTAAATGCATCACTATTATAATTTCAAAGAAAAGGAACAATACTCATAGAAATTTAGATGGTCCCAGATAACATGTGGCTTATCAGGTCATTCTTTGAGACAAAGGTAATGCAAATAGGCAAAAAAAAAAAAAAAAAAAAGCTATGGGAGCATAAGTGACTTCTAACTTCCTGCTGGCTTTCCCATTGTCTTTGTTTGTGGGAAACTCAGAGATTGAGGAAAATCATGTTCACGTCTTCCAAAACTAAGGTGACTTTGTATAAAATATACAAAAGTATGAAGGCTATTGCTTAACGCATTGTAAGCCGCCTTGAGTCTCCAGAGAAGGGCGGCATATAAAAATAAATAAACAAACAAACAAACAAACAAATAAACAAATAAATAAATAAATAAATAAATAAATAAATAAATAAATAAATAAATAAATAAATAAAATAAAACTGACAGTTCAGTTGATCATGGGGACACTGCTGTGGCCACAACTTTGCAAACAAAAGTGGTCTGAAGCTCCTTGAAATTTCAACCATTCTTTGGCTAGAAAAGAAATATGAATAAAAAATGAGGGATAAATGAGGGAGATAATAGAAAGGTAAATGATGGAGAGAACAAAAAAGAAATAGAAACCCAGAGGACACCAGAGTAAATGGAAAAGGGGGATGGGAGAGGGGAAAAGAAAGAAGAGTATAAGTATAAATGTACAATTATAATGATAAAAGTGACAGATTGGGTAAAAAATGAAAAGAAATTGAAAAGAAAGCATATATTATTAGAATATTGGAGTTGCTCGGATACCAAAGAGGGAATATATTTCACAACAAAGAAAAAAGAAAGGAGAGAGGAATAGAGGGTATGAAGAGGAGAGGGAAAGGGAGGAATGGAAGAAAGGGGAAAGGAGGGAAAGAAAGGGCAGGGGAGAGGAGTAGGAGAGAAGGAGAGAATAGGAGGAAAGTGGAGAGGAGTGGGGAAAAGGAAGGGGAAGTAGGAAAGAGGAAGGAGAGGTATGCATTTCCCGCTGTTCACACAAGTGGGTATATGCATATGTGCACTTGCCCTCCACTTCTCAATGGCTCAAGAGGTTAACTGTGGCCTGCGGGTTGGGACCCCTGCATTATGCAGTGCTATAGCTATAGCGGTAGCACTTACTTATATACAGTTTCACAGTGCTTTACAGCTGTTGTGACCCCGACTCCCGAGCCTGCCCTAACAGAGGAAGAGGACTCAGAAGGTGATGGGGAGGAACTGACAAGGCCTCCCTCTCCAGGACCTTCCTTTCTGGCAATGCTTCAGGTTCCATCTGAAGGCCAGGAGGAACAGCCTAGGATGTGCCAGGAGGAAGGCATATCGGAGCACCAATTGATAGGGAGCGAGGAGGATGAATCCTGGCTTGATCCCAGGCAGCGTCAGAGGGAGAAGCGTGTGTAGCAACGGAAGAGGCGTGGGAGGGCCAGAGATTGAGCTGAGTCACAGAGCCACGCCCCACCAGGAATAAAAGTGGGTGGGATTGCTTTTCAGGCTTTGTGACGGACAAAGTTAAACCCTGAAACTCACATTGTGATCTCTGAAATTCGGCTTGGATATATTTTGGACTGAACATTGACTAAACTCTTGTCTCGTGGATAATTTGTTGCTCTTGGAACAGGAGTGAAACCTGTCTTGGCAGGCATTCGGCAGTTTGCTGCCAAAACCTTGGTCTGCCAAAAATTCTAATCTGTTTACCTAATAAAAAATTGGCAGGTGTGCTTGGTATTATGTTTGCCTGTATGAGGAAGGGGGACAGAACAACAGCCCTCCCTAAGTACATTACAGAGTCAACCTATTGACCTCAACAATTTGGGTTCTCATTTTACCAACCAGGGAAGGACGGAAGCCTGAGTCAACCTTGAACCAGTCAGGATCGAACTCCTGGAGTGAGCAGTGAGTTAACCTGCTATACTGCAATCTAACCAGTGGTGGGTTGCCCCTGGTTCGGACCGGTTCTATAGAACCAGTAGTAAAACCGGCGGGAGGCTCCACCCACTGACCCTGACATCATCAGCGATCTGAGCATGCACAGAAGCAAGACATGTGCGCGCACGATCCCATTGCAAACCGGTAGTAAAGGTAAGTATCCAGCAGGTTCTGCCATGCCCACCAAGCCACACTATGCCCACCAAGCCATGCCCACAGAACCGGTAGTAAAAGAAAAGTGGATTTCACCACTGCACCAAAGTCCTATACATGTTTCATGCCTGGTTTCTGATTTCATTTCTAATTTCTAACCAGAATAACCAGTTTTGTCTTGTTTTTTCCTTTCAGAGAACTTCTAAACTTCTCTTTCCACAGTCATCATGAACATTAACTGAACTGCAAGGAGATTTTTTTTTGCTAGGCACATTTGGTCCCAAGATCAAATCTCACACCATTTTTGATGACCCGAGGCAAGGCACGGAAGCAACACAGCTAGTTCGAACTCCCCTTTATTGCTCCGACTTTCCCCCAAATGCTCGTTTATGGCAAGTCCTGGAGCAAAGCGCTCACACACACACGCAGACAGCAGCCTCTGGCTGCAAGTAGTCCAGCAAAATGCTGTTAGCACAATGGCTTCAAGGCAAGAAGTCCAGCGAGGCAAAGGAACAAGTCAATAATAAGGCAACAAGTTCAACGAGGCAAAGGAACAAGGCAGTAATAAGGCAAGAAATCCAGCAAACTCCAGACAATGGCAACAGCACACAAAACTCCACAAATTCAGCACTTCTTCCTGACAAGCACCCTTCCCCACAGTGTCTCAGTCCCTAGGTGTGCCTTGTGAAGAGGGGCGGGGGGCTCTCCTCTGAGTTGTCGGGTTGACCTGCACTGCTTCCACCTCCTCTCCACTCTCCATGCTCGGGGATCAGGAGGGGATGGTCCTTGCCTGAGCTCCTTCATTCTACTGCCTGCTCTCTTCTCCCCTCTCTCCATTGTCCTGCCCCCATTCTTCCCTGCTGGCAAGCTGTCTCAGACCCAAGGGACCCAGGACTGCCTCATCCTGCTCCTCCCCAGGTTCCTCCGGAGCCAATGAGGCTGCCCCCCTCGATCTCCGTTGGCCCTAGCTGCGGCTCATCTTCCTCCGCAGAGTCAGGCTCCAACGGGGCCATGACACCATTAGAAAGTTTCAAATGGAATCTGTTTTCCTAAAACTTAAGACTATTACTATATTCCATGGCCTATATTACGGAACTCAAAGGTGGACACCCATCTTTGGGGTCTGACCAGTTCAGTGTATATTGGAATGACTGCTATATAAAACATTATTAATTTTGCATGCCTTGACTTGTCTTAATGATATCATAGGAATTGCAAAACATCTACCGAGAACCTCATGAGAAAAGCAAAAGGAATGAATTTTTCACTGCCCTTCTCACTAATATTTATGCCCAACTATGTACGAAGTTCATCTTAAGAGTTCTATTTTACCTTTTCTTGCTTGCCGTTCATTTTTCTTATAAATCATTAAGTACCTTGGAGTTTCAGGTATGCAGGGCAGTAGAAACAGTTGAATCAAGGGTAGAATTCCTGCCAAACCCATCAGTACAGACCAACCTGCGCCAGAACATTAAACAGTGACATAGAGGCAGCAAAGAAATCATAGTGAGCACCTGACTACTATAAGCAAAGATGGGACTTCTCCAAATCAAGAGTTTATCTGAATTCTGAATTCATTGTTGGCTCATCTTTAGAAGTATCTGTGCTTCCCCACTTCAGTTTGCTTCCTTCCTCTTAGAGGCTAACTAAGCCCAGTTGAAATTGGAGGAGGGATCACATCAGAGGTGGTATTCAGCAGGTTCTGACCAGTTCTGGAGAACCGGTAGCAGAAATTTTGAGTAGTTTGGAGAACCGGTAAATACCACCTCTGACTGGCCCTGCCCCCATCTATTCTCTGCCTCCTGAGTCCCAGCTGATCGGGAGGGAATGGGGATTTTGCAGTATCCTTCCCCTACCATGCCCACCAAGCCACGTCCACCAAGCCATGCCACGCCCATCAAGCCACGCCCACAAAACTGGTAGTAAAAATTTTTGAATCCCACCACTGGATCACACCTGCCCATATTTATTTATTTTATTTATTTTATTAAATTTCTATACCGCCCTTCTCCCGAAGGACTCAGGGCAGTGAACAGCCACAAGATAAAACACATAAATACAAAAATTTAAAATAGAATAAAAACAAATTAAATAATTTGGCTGAACAAATTTAAAATACCCCATAATTTAAAAACAAATTAAAATTTACATTTAAAAAGGGGAGAAGATTTAGGCCAGGCCAGCTTGATGAAATAAAAAAGTCTTAAGCGCGCGACGGAAGGTGCGCAGATCTGGGATCCTCCGTATCTCCGGGGGGAGCTCGTTCCAGATCGTAGGTGCCCCCACAGAGAAGGCTCTCCCCCTAGGGGCCGCCAGTCGACATTGTTTGGCTGACGGCACCCGGAGGAGCCCCTCTCTATGGGAGTGTACTGGCCGGTGGGAGGCTATTGGTGGTAGCAGGCGGTCCCGTAGATAACCAGGTCCTAAGCCATGGACCATTTGACTCTTGGTTAGTTAGTTAGTTAGTTAGTTAGTTAGTTAGTTAGTTAGTTAGTTAGTTAGTTATCCCTGATAATAGGGAGCACAAAGACAAGGCACAAAGAACAAAATTCTCCCTTTTACTTGGATAACGCTATTCTTCTTACTGAGCAGATGGGCCACGTTCACAGCAAACACTACCCCTGAGGGCCACTGTAGCGTAATGGCTCAATTACCCTAGTAAGAAGTAGAGAGACCCAGGTTCTAATCCACCCACAGCCACCTTGAACTACCATAGTTAGTTTCTTTCTCAGCCCAATCACTTCCACAATATTATTGAAGGGAGTGGGGAGGGGAGAGAGGGAATGTTATGCATGCCCTTTGAATTCCTGAATGAAAAACAGGATATAAATCAAACACAGGTCTACAACCAACTACTGCTTCCGACAGCAACACACCATTAATCGGGGTCATTTTGCATCTCCCAGCTCATCATCCCAGTACAGAGCTTTCAGATTAACAGAGTTGGAAGGGACCTTGTAGGTCATCTAGTCCAACAACCCCACCCCCCACCCAAGCAGGAGACCCTACCCCATTTCTGACAGATGGCCATCCAGTTTCTTCAAGAAAGCATCCACTGATGAAGCTCCCACAGCTTCCGAAGGCAACTTCTGTTCCATTGGTTGATTGTTCTCACTGTCAGAAAATTTCTCCTTATTTCCAGGTTGAATCTCTCCTTGGTCAGTTTCCATCCATTATTCCTTGTCTGGCCTTTGGCAAACAGCTTGACCCCCTCCTCTCTGTGGCAGCCCCTCAAATATTGGAAGGCTGCTATCCTGTCTCCCCTGGTCCTTCTCTTCACTAGATTAGCCATGCCCAGTTCCTGTAACCGTTCTTCATATGTTTTAGTCTCCAGTCCCCTAATCATCCTGGTTGCTCTCCTCTGAACTTTTTCTAGAGTCTCAACATCTTTTTTTTATAGTGTAGTGACCAAAACTGGATGCAATACTCTAGATGTGGTTTTACTAAGGCTTTATAGAGTGGTATTAGTACCTCACTTGATCTTGATTGTATCCCTCTGTTAATGGATCTTAAGATTGCATTGGCTTTTTTGGCTGCTACCACACACTGCTGGCTCATATTTAGCTGATTGTCCACTTAGACTCCAAGATCCCTCTCACAGGCACTGCTATTAAGCCTGGGTTCCCCCCGTGTGTTATATGTGTGTTTTTGGTTTTTCTTGCCTAAGTGTAAAACTTTACTTTTTTCTACATTGACTTTCATTTTGTTAGATAGGGCCCAGTGTTCAAAGTCTATCAACATCTATCTGGATCTTGAGCCTATCTACCATTGTTTCTAAATTAATAGGTCTCCCGTGCTTGCTAACTAAGGCATCTTCTTTACCAAACAATGTTTGGTAAATGTAGGGCAGCCTGCAGAGCAAAATTTGAATAGTAGGAAACCTAAGACTATGAATGGGGTTCAGAGGAACTGCCTATGTGGCAGTAGAAGGGAAGAATTCCAAGTTCTTTTTGGGGTAAACTAAGGCCAATAAAATACCAGTAGAGAAGCATTTATTATTTGGTCCTTGAGATTTTGTGTTGTTCTTATGTACAGATGGTCCTTGACTTATGACAATTTTGCTTAGTGACCATTTGAACTTACAATGGCTCTGAAAAAAGTGGCTTAGGACCCCTTTTTCACACTTATGACCATTGTAGCATCCCCATGATCAAAATTCAGATGCCTGCCAACTGATTCCTATTTATGACGGTTGCAGTGTCCCAGAGCCATGTGACTTCTGACAAACCTAGTCAGTGGGGAAGTCAGATTCACTTACCGACACTAACACTTAAGGTAGTGTTACTAACTTAACAACTGCAGTGATTCATTCTCTTAGTAAGAGAAATTTTGGGCTGAATTGTGATCATATGTCGAGGACTACCTGTATGTATTTATAGAGTTAGATTTTATGGGTTTAATTACAGATGCTATTGATCTAGGTTCACAACAAAGTTATCGGTTCATTTCTTCAAATCACCTGACACGTTTCCTAGAAATTCCTTTACTGCAAATATCTGAGACAACAGGATGCCGATATTTAAACAGAACTGGTGTATGAAAATCATGGCTCCTCGATAGTTCCTCGGGGCTATTTCACCCACATATAAAGGAACAAAACTTAAAATGAAACCTGGTTGGAAGAGAAAGCAAAGAATAATATGCAACATGCAAACTACATTGTGCACAGAAATGTATGAACAGATTTGTTGCTGGCTGACAAACTGAACTCAATGAGTAGACCTTAATGGTACTACATACACATGGAGACAAGTAAGCAGTGGGGTACCGTCTTAGGCCCAGTACTCTTCAATATCTTCATAAATGACTTAAATCAGCGGTGTCAAACATAAGGCCCAAGAGCTAGAGCTGGCTCACTGGGCACTTAGATCTGCCCTGGAAGTGGGCTGTTTCCAGGACCAGATCTAAACACCAGCCTTGATGGGATCCAGCCCCCAGGCTTAAGCCCCCAGGCCTTGAATTTCACACCCCTGATGTAATGTATCCCCAAATTGTTGCAGATGTCAGTTCTGTCATTTTTCTCCCATAGGAGAGAAGTTTGAAAGAGATTTGTTGAAATCCACGAGCTGCAAAGAACTGTCCTCCTACATAATTCTTTCTGAAATGCTCCTAATCGAGACAAATGCAAGCACACACACACACACACACAAATAATCTGGAGCAGAGTCAAAGACATTCATTGGGTAAGAGGCAGATATTCGGAAGGCACATCTTTGCTTGCAAATGTCATTCAATTCTGCTGTGATACTTTAAGCCAGGGGTCTCCAACTTTGGCAACTTTACGACTTGTGGGCTTCAACTCACAAGTCATCCACAATTGGACAACTTGTGACATCCACAAGTCGTAAAGTTGCCAAGGTTGGGGACCCCTGCTTTAGGCAACATCTTCCTTTCAAAATTCAAAAGTCACATTCTGGAAGTCAGTTATTAATTTTCTATGCTAGCCAAAAAGATGTAGAAAGCATCAACACTGAGACAGTTGAACCGCCCACCAAACAGTTCAAAGAGAGATTGATTTCAAAATTCAAATTAGAGAACCAGGTTGGTGTAATGGTTAAAGCACCAGTCTAAAAATCGAGTCACTTTAAGTCCTAATCCTGCCTTAGAGCCGTGGTGGTGCAGTGGATAGAATGCGGTATTTCAAGCTAACTGTGCCAATTGCCAGCAGTTCGATCCTGACTGACTCAAGGTTGACTCAGCCTTCCATCCTTCTGAGGCCGATAATATGAGGAGCTATATTATTGGGGACAATATACTGACTTTGTAAACCGCTTGGAGAGGGCTGTAAAGCACTGTGAAGCGGTATGAAAGTCTATGTGCTATTGCTTAGACATAAAAGCAATTGGGAGACCTTGGGCCAGTCATTCTCTCTCAGCCGTGGGAAGGGGGCAATGGCAAATCTTGCCAAGAAAACTGCAAGGACTTGCTCAGGCAGTCGCCAGGAGTCAATGATGACTCAAAGGCAACAAAAAATAATAATAATTTGCAGGAAAAAAAATATGGTTTCGGTATATCCCTATTTTTTAGCATATGTTTTCCCTGTTACATTCTGATGGCAGATGTTTTGTGCCAAGTTAGCAAATCAAAGAATTACAGCTTCATTCCTATACACACTTAGGCACCTCATTTATTTCCTTACTTTCCTCCTTTGCATATACTTTCCTAATATTAAAGTCTGGGTCCTCATTTTACCCACCTCAGAATGATGGGAGGCTGAGTCAACTTTGACCCTGGTGAGATTTGAACTGCCAAATTGCAGGCAGCCGGCAGTCAGCAGAAGTAGCCTGCAGTACTGCATTCTAACCACTGTGCCACCATGGCTCATGGCTACAGTTTTATAGTCCTTATTTCTATACCGAAATCATAAATCGTTCAGTTTTGTTCTCCTCTAAGATTTCTTAATTGCATTGTGTAGCATGGTGGCTCAGAAAAAATCTGTCCATGTGGTCATAAAGACTTAACACTGTGGATGGTTCACCATTGGTCTTGTTATTTGTGTGTGTTTGGGTTTCTCAAATGTTCTTTTAAAAATGATTTGAGCTTGTTTGCAAATGCTTGATGGAACATTGCAAGCTATGGATCAATCTGCGGTAGAACAGAATGGAATTAATAAAAGCAGATGAGTAACCGAAACCTTGTCAAGACTTAAATTATTATATCCGTAGATAGGACCCACCTGAAGATAATCCAGTGAACAAGTGAGATAAAAAGGTGAATTCGAGGCTGTTTATAATACGTTGACCACTCATCAAGATTGCAGAAGTCATTGCTGTAATATTAGCTATCACCAAAGAGCATTTCCTGAAAAATAAAAGATATCAAGGGAATAAGAAGCTGGAGAGAAATCAGTGAATACATGGTGTCCACCCTCAGCCATGTGTAACATTTTAGGTGAGTTTGAGCCTTGTTTTCACTCCAATCTACATGGTTGTTCCTTTGAGGAATTGTTGCAGGCATCAGCATAGCTACATTGCATTGAGATTTTGAAAGAAGTGTATTAAAAATCTAATGAATTTTTAAAAGAGGTAGAAAATATGGAAGCCAGACAGGGTAGCAAATAGGCTAAGGAAAAATATCCAGATAATTTCTGAATGAGCCAGAGGTGTTGATCAACAGTTATAGGCAGTACTGGACCCCAGTTGAGGCCAGAATTTATGTTGCTAAGTGAAAAAATTGTTAAGTGAGTTTCCCCCCATTTTACGACTTTTCTTGCCATATTGGTTAAGTGAATCACTGCAAGTTGTTAAATTAGTAATACGGTTGTCCAGTATTTATAATGTGTTGAGGCCTGCCAGCCACTAGCCCCTCCAGCAGCCGAATCAGAGAAGGAGGAGGCGTGGGAGTCAGGTTCATCATCAAGGCAACCTGAGAGCTTTGTGGGGGAAGAGGGAATGGAGCTATCAGAGAGAGAGACAAAGGCGGAGTCTGGGCCATCCATCAGCCCTCAGATGGAGAGTCAACAGCCCTCAGGTCTGGAGGTGGCTGATGAGAAAGAGGAGGAACAGCTGGGTCCAGTGCCTGACGCGCAGATGCACAGAAAGCAGAGGAGAGGAGAGGAGTGGAAATCTGTGGGCTGATCCTTGGGACAGAAGAGCCACTGCTGCTAGCAAAGTCCCACAGTAGCTCTGGAGATAAAAGGCAGGGGGCAGAGATGAATAGATGTGGCAGACAGCTATTCATTTCCCTGCCAGACGGACTTGTTAGCCTGTGGTGAGAGAAAAACTTTTTGTCAGGGCTGCTGGCAAAAGGAATAATAATAAAGGAATCATTGATTTAACTTCAGAGGGTTTGCCATGTTTCGGGAGCTAGGTCAGAATATAATGATTACAGCATTAATGGGTCATGTGATCTCTATTTTCAACCTTTCCAGCTGGATTCAGACAAGCAAAATCAATGAGAAGCTGGATTTGCTCAAAAACCATGTGATTCACTCAATAAGTGGACTTGTTTAACAACTTTGCAAAAAAAGGGCATAAAATCGGGTATGACTCATTTATTTATTTATTATTTACTATTTATTTATTAATTTAATTTCTATACCACCCTTCTCCCGAAGGACTCAGGGCGGTGTACAGCCTAATTAAAAACACAAAGACAGACAATATTTAAAAATAATTAAAATTATTAAATAATAGGCCCAATTTATAAAACCCCGAATTTAAAATCCCATTTAAAACCAATTAAAATCTTGATATTGATAGCCCAGCCTGGCGGAACAACATGGTTTTGAGGGCACAGCGAAATACACGGAGATCAGAGATTTTACGAATTTTTGGGGGGAGTTCATTCCAAAGGGCAGGGGCTCCCACAGAGAAGACCCTCCCCCTGGGTGTCGCCAGCCGACATAATTTGGCTGATGGCACCCTGAGGAGATTTAACCACCATTTTTCTTAGCAAAAGAAATTCTCATCTCCCCTGTAGTCATAAATTGAGGAGTACCTCAAAAACTCTAACAAATAAGCATGTAAGTAGATAAACCTCTATGAAACTGAAAAGAACAAAGGGAAATAGTGGTATTTTTCCCGTTCTTTTTCTTCGACTCTGACATCTCCTGGTACTGCGATGTCAATACATTGTACATTTTGGTTTTCGACAACTGTGATATCTGGTGTGTTGTGTTCCAAATGATGATCCGTCTGTATTTGAAAGTCCCACAAGATCTTCACCTTCTCATTTTCTATAACTTTTTCCACTTTATGTTCCCATGACTTTTTGGATACAGATAAGTTGTATTTTTTACATAATGACCAGTGGATTAATTTAGCAACTCGGTCGTGTCTAGCTTCATAATCAGTTTGTGCGATTTTGCTGCATTCACATATTAAATGTGAAACAGTTTTGACTTTGTTGTTGCAAAGTCGGCAGTTTGGATTGTCGGTGGATTTTTGCATCTTTGCTTTCATGGCATTAGTTTGTAGTGCTTGTTCTTGAGCAGCGAGTATTAAACCTTCCGTTTCTTTCTTGATGGTTCCCATCTTAAACCATGCCCATGTAAAGTTGTCATCACATTTTCCTTCAATGCTTTTCAAGTGCTGTCCACGCAAAGCTTTGGTTTTCCATCTATTTAATCTGTCATCCAGCTGTTTTTCCTTATATTCTGCCTTTGTTTCTGTTGTTTTTATAGTGTTCTCTGTTTTCACAGCCTGAAGCAATTTTTCTGTACTTTGGTTCACATAATCATTCAAACTTTGTTTTTCTTCTTCTACAGTTTGATGGATTTGAATAGTCCTCTGCCCCCTATTTTTTTTTGGTAGGTACAACCTGTCGATGTCACTTCATGGATGTAAAGCGTGGTACATATTGAAAAGTTTGTGCATTTTCCAGTCCAAGTTTTCCAGTTCAGCCAAAGTCCAGTTGATGATTCCATCTGAGTAGCGTATCACTGGAACTGCCCATGTATTAATGCCTCTAATTATGTTTCCAGCATTCAGCTTTGATTTAAATATTTTGCGGACCCTCCTGATGTATTCCTTTTGCGTTGACTCTTTGACTTTTCCATTCAAAATGTTATCTGCTTCCAATATGCCTAGGTATTTGTAACCATCATCCTTTGCTAATGCTTTTACTATGTTTCCATTTCTCAGTTCTATTCCTTCTATTTTTTCCATGTTTCCATTATTTCCATTATTGTTGTTGTTGTTGTTGTTGTTGTTGTTGTTATTATTATTATTATTATTATTATTATTATTATTATTATTTTACTGTGTTAACTGGATGTAGTGATTTATGGATAGATAAATGGCACGTACAGTATATATTACCAAATAAACCATGAAAACAGCTTACCTGCCGAGAATATCAGCCAAAAACCCAGCCATCACTGAGGCAAATATACCTCCAAGTGGGATTATAGCAATATTGATTGCCAACTCAAGTACTTCATATTTTCTTGAAGATTGTTCGAAAGAAGTGGTGTTAAAAAATTTTTGCAACAGCTAGAAGAGAAACACAAAGTATGCACATGGGATCAAAAACGCAAATTGGGGACCAAATGAATTTTGGAGGGCAGTGATACCTCTGGATAAATGTTCTAAATGACCTTAAAGGTAAAGGTTCCCCCGCACATGCGTGCTAGTCATTTCCAGCTCTAGGGGGCGCTACTCATCTAAGCTTCAAAGCTAAAGAGCCAGTGCTGTCCGAAGATGTCTCCGTGGTCATGTAGCCGGCATGACTAAATGCCGAAGGCATTCGGAGTGCTATTACCTTCCCACCAAAGTGGTCCCTATTTTTCTACTTGAATTTTTTACGTGCTTTCGAACTGCCAGGTTGGCCCAAGCTAGGACAAGTAACAGGAGCTCACTCCATTATGCAGTGCTAGGGATTTGAACCGCTGAACTGCCGACCTTCTGACCGACAAGCTCAGCATCTTAGCCACTGAGCCACCGTGTCCCTAGAAATGGCCTTACAAATGGCTTATTTGTAAGCCATTGTGATTTATTTAATTGATAAAAGAACATTACAATTTGCTAACTCAAGAGTGACATTCATTGGAAGAAGAAAAAAAGCCCCATTGGCAGTATAGAATACAGGCAAAAAAAAATTGTGGAATATGTATTCTTACATTATCTATCTTATATGACTATTATTCCTTTTTTATTTAATAAAAATGCATAAAAATAAAGATAATCCCTCATTCCAACTTCAAACATATTCATGACCACTTTCCCTCCCGGGCATGTGTGTGTGTGTGTGTGTGTGTGTGTGTGTGTGTGTGTGTGTAGGTAGATAGATAGATAGATAGATAGATAGATAGATAGATAGATAGATGATAGATAAAGATAGAGTAGAGATAGAGATAGATAGATAGATAGATAGATAGATAGATAGATAGATAGATAGATAGATAGATGATAGATAGAGATAGAGATAGTGATAGAGATAGAGATAGATAGATAGATGATAGATAGAGATAGAGATGATAGATAGATAGATAGATAGATAGATAGATAGATAGATGAGAGATAGAGATAGATAGATAGATGAGAGATAGAGATAGATAGATAGATAGATGAGAGATAAAGATAGAGATATAGATAGATAGATGATAGATAGAGATAGAGATAGAGATTGAGATAGAGATAGAGATAGATAGATAGATAGATAGATAGATAGATAGATAGATAGATAGATAGATAGATAGATAAATGATAGATAGATATAGAGACACAGACAGACAGACATAATTACTTGAGGGATTGAATCTTATGCATACACCTTAGATTAGAAAGCTATTTGCATTAAAGGAAGTTCTTACCACACCAGGTGAATAAACTATCCAGATAAAGTAACCATAATGCACACTTAGGATGCTGGATGCAAAAGAAACCCAAATAAGTGACTTCGTCAGTTCCTGTGGGGGGGGGGGATAATAGCACACTATTAATTGAACTGACATTTTTTTTATTATTATTAAAAGTGAACCGTCTATGTTTACCGTTATAAAAAAATCACAAAAATTGTAACACCAATGAAGTCTGGTCTGAAAAGCAGAGTGATGTAGTTTCGCTGTTGAGATCTTCACATAATGGACGTATGCTATTTAGAGCATACGATTGCCATTTTTTAAAAAACTAAATAAAGTTAGCGTAATCCTATGCACTGTCATAATTATGGAACCACAACTTGAACCCACAAAAACATCTGTATCTAGTTGTCTATGGAGATTCTCAGTCTTCAAGGTCATGGTTGTCCCAAAGGTGCTTTGTTTTTCCTTGATGGAATGGGACAATTCGCCATGGCCAACTTGCCATGGTCAACTCATTGCGGGACAATTCAACAATTCAATTTCGTAATTCAAAATAGTACTTTAATTGTTGTCTTTCACTTTTCATTTTGTCCTTCCTTTGGTGTTCTTTTATTCCATGTCTTCCATATTAGTGTAACTCTTGTCCCGTGGCGAGTTGGCCAGGAGGAATTGTCTCATGGCAAGTTAACTGTGGCAAGTTGTCGACAGCAAGTTGGTTACGGCAAGTCGTCCGTGTTGAGTTGGCGATGGCAAGTCGTCCGTGTTGAGTTGGCGATGGCAAGTCGTCCGTGTTGAGTTGGCGATGGCGAGTCATACCCACTTCCTTGAAGATATTTCGCTTCTCATCCAAGCGAACTGAAGAAGCTTCTTGGATGAGAAGCAAAACGTCTTCAAGGAAAAACAAATGTCAGTTGCCTTTTGAAAATGGACCTTTGGGATGTCTGTATTTAGGTCAGGGGTGTCAAACTCAAGGTCCCAGGAGCCGGAGCCGGCACGTGGAGTACTTAGATCTGGCCCACGAGGCCACCATGGAAACAGTGTCATGCCCCTGTCGGAGTCTGCTTCTGAAGAGGAAGAGGAACAGCTGACAGAGAGTGAGAGAGTGGATCCGTTGGCTGTGGAAGAAACTGGGGAAGTGCAAAGTCAGGCTGGGCAGAGCAGGGGAGAAGTAGAACAAGGGAGAGGGGGTTCACATGAAGACCAAGGACCACTCCCTCTCCTCATCCTAGGCAGCGCAGGGAGGAATGGAGAAGAGAGCAATGTGGGTTGCGTGGCTTACAATGGAGGAAAGTGATCCAATCCTCTTTACAAGGCACAGCTGCTGATTGAGTTTAAAAGTAGAGGCAAATGGGAGGGCCAGTTGACGGGAACAAACACTGAGTTCATCTGGTGCTTATCTGAGTTCCTGGCATCCTCCCAACTGGTTTGATTTACTGCCATGCTACTTCACTTCTGGAACTCCTTATCTTGCTGCCCTGCGGGACTCATTACCTTATCTTGCCGTGTTGGATTTTTAGTTGAAAGTTTTCTGTTTACATTTGGGACTGAAGTATTGTCAGCCAAAGACTATTACAGATTGGTGGAAGAGCTCTCTCCAGGCCGGAGAGTTGAAAAGGACATTGGGGACACTGCTGGTGATATTAAAGGGACTCATATAAGTTTTCTGGCTGTGTTGCCTTTGTGTCACACCCCATGTCATCATAAAAAGACTGGCCTGTGCTGGCTCTGCCAGTGAAAATGGAGCTTGGGAGGGCTGCACATGGCCCTCCCAAGCTCCGTTTTCCCACGCAGAAGGTTGCAAGAGGCTGTTGTAGCCGAAAATGGAGCTCGCGAGGGCTGCTTGCAGCCCTCCCGAGCTATGTTTTTGCTGGCAAAGGGTTGCAGGAGGACATTGCAGCTGAAAACAGAGCTTGGGGGCCCATTTTCACTGGCAGAGCACTTGGGCCACCACAAGCACACCTGGCACAAGTGACATCGAGCTGGACACACCCACCCTGGTCATGCCCACCCCAGCACCCTGGGGTCAAACACAACTGTTCTGCCCCAGCTATGGACCCCAAAGAACACAGCACACACAAACTCTATACAAAGCTTACTTTACTCAAATAACTTAGTCTTTATCATTCAAAGGCTGTTAATGAACTGTCTTAACAGCCTACCAGAATTCTAAGATAAGGTAATCACAGTCTTACTAGAGTTGGTAGAAAGCCCAGAAGCAGTTTTGCAGACACGAAAGAGAGTGAACTAAAGTTGTTCTCTACAGCTTGCAAGTGGCGTTCCTCCTTAAATAGGCTAAGGGAGTGGCCAATTAGCCCCAAGCCTTACTCTCGAGGAGACCTCCTCCTGAGGAGCCACGCCTGCCTTTTGGCAGCTCTGCACACCCGTGCATTGAGAAGAGGCTCCTCCTCTTCGTCCTCTTCACTTAAAGGAGCTTCTGGAGGTTCTGATGGCCCTGGCTGAATCCCTGCCTCTGGCACCACATCTTCTCCAGCCTCCTCACTGTCCGACTCGAGCGCCAGCTGCACAGGCTGCTGGCGCAGCACCATACCAGTCTCCTCGTTGTCGGAATCACCTACAATTTGCACAGTCCGCTGATGGGCCACAACAACAACCCTGAAGTGGCCCACAATGAAATCAAAAAAGCTTTAAAATGGAGTGTGCACCACTACAATTCAAAAACCCTTCCTTTCCTTGATGCATTGTTTCTGCACTCTCTCACCCCAGTGAGCTGAACACCAGACCTCTTGGGCCTAGAAACAGTTCTTGAGAGTGATGTTGGACCTGTGCAGGAGAACAGTGATTCCTGGAGGCTAAAACATATGATGAACGGTTGCAGAAATTGGGTATGGCTAGTCTAGTGAAAAGAAGGACTAGGGAAGACATGACAGCAGTGTTCCAATATCCAAGGGGCTGCCACAAAGAAGAAGAAGTCAAGCTATTCTCCAAAGCACCTGAAGGTAGGTCAAGAAGCAATGGATGGAAAGTTATCAAGGAGAGAACCATCCCAGAATTAAGGGGACATTTCTTGACAGAGAGAAGAATGAACCAATGGAATGGCTTGCCTTCAGAACCTGTGGGTGCTCTATCACTGGAGGCTTTTAAAAAGAGACTGGGCAGCCATGAGCCACGGTGGCACAGTGGTTAGAGTGCAGTACTGCAGGCTACATCTGCTGAATGCCGGCTGCCTGCAATTTGGCAGTTCAAATCTCACCAGGCTCAAGGTTGACTCAGCCTTCCATCCTTCCGAGGTGTGTAAAATGAGGACCCCAAATTGTTGGGGGCAATATGCTGACTCTGTAAAACCACTTTGAGAGGGCGGTAAAGTACTGTAAAGTGGAATATACTGGTAAGTCTAAGTGCTATTGCTATTGTCTGAAATAGTATAGGGCCGTGATGGCGAACCTATGGCACACGGAGCCATGTTGCCTGGCACACGCAGCATCACCCGTTCCTCTTCCGGGTTTCTGGCGTGCATGCACAAGCTATGATCATCTGACCTTTGTGTGGGTGGCAATGCTGGAAACCGGAAGAGCTGGTCTTCCATTTTCCAGCATGAGCATGCGTGCTAGCCAGCTGATCAGTGTGTGCGCATCTGAGGCAGTAACCGGAAGACTTACTGGCCAATGTGCATGTGTACGCCAGAAACCGGAAGTACCTTATCAGGCCCGTGCATGTCCCCTGGGCAGCTCCTCTTCCTGGTTGTGGACCTGACGAGCACACGCACACAGGACATGCACGTATGCATGCACAGTGCTCCCTTTTCGGTGCATGTGCACTCCCTTTTTGGCACTCAGTGCTGAAAAGATTCACCATCATTGGTATAGGGTCTCCTGCTTGAGCAGGGATTTGGACTAGAACAGGGGTCACCAACCTTTCATACCTCAGGGACCACTAAATTCATAATTTTAAATCCCGTGGACCACTAATATGATCTGCCTAATGACTGGCTGGGTGGGCATGGCTAGATGGTCATGTGACTGGGTGGGCATGGCCAACTCGATGTCACTCACATCGAGGGGCACCTTGCCAGGCTCTACTCACACACCCCCTCCCAGGCCCCAACAGGAAGCAGTTGTTGGAGCTAAGCAGCCACCATGAGAAAGAGTTGGCTTATTACATAGAAAAATGGGGAACAAGGATGGCAATGATTCACCCACCAACTTGCCCCTTCCCTCCCAAAAAATCAAGATGATATCTATGAGAAGTGACTGAAGTCCTATTCCTTCTGTATGTACCCCACTTTTACATATGTGTATCAGTGGTGGGTTCCTCCCGGTTTGGCCCGGTTCGGCCCGATTCGGCCGGGCCAGTAGCAGTGACGATATGACCATCAGCACAGGTACTCCTTGACTTCTGACTACAATTGGGACCAGAATTCCTCTTGGAAAGCAAGGCAATTGTGCCTGATTTTTTGACCGTTTTTTTTTGCCATAGTTGATAAGCAAATCACTGCAATTGTTAAGTGAACCACACGGTTGTTAAGTAAATAGCAATGACCCTTAGACTTATATACTGCTTCACAGTGCTTTACAGCCCTCTCTTAGTGGTTTACAGAGTCAGCCTATTGCCCCCAACAATCTGGGTCCTCATTTTACCAACCTGGGAAGGATGGAAGGCTGAGTCAACCTTGAACCTGGGGAGATTCGAACTGCCCAAATTGCAGGCAGCCGGCAGGCAGCAGAAGTCGCCTGCAGTACTGCACTCTAACCACTGCGCCACTGTGGCTCAATCTGGCGTGCTCCATTGATTTTGTTTGTCGGAAGCCAGTTGGGAAGGCCACAAATGGTGATCACATGACCCCAGGATTCTGCAACCATGGTTAATACATGTTGGTTGCCAAACACTTGGATTTTTGATGCCGTAATGGTTGTAATTGTGAGAACAGGTTGTAAGTCACCTTTTTTTTTCCAATACTGTAACTTTGACAGTTGCTAAACAAATGGCACAAGGCAAGAACTATCTGTAATGCTACAACATGTAGGACAGAGGTCCCCTTCATATTGCTACGTTAAATGCCCTTCTTCACTGTGATGCTCTATTCATGGAATTTCCCCACAACAGAACAGAACAGAACAGAACAGAACAGAACAGAACAGAACAGAACAGAATAGAATAGAATAGAATAACAGAGTTGGAAGGGACCTTGAAGACAGGATATCCTACACCACTTCAGACAAATGGTTATCCAACATCTTCTTAAAAGCTTCCAGTGTTGGAGCATTCACAATTTCTGCAGGCAAGTTGTTCCACTTATTAATTGTTCTAACTGTCAGGAAATTTCTCCTTAGTTCTAAGTTGCTTCTCTCCTTGATTAGTTTCCACCCATTGCTTCTTGTCCTACCGTCAGGTGCGTTGAAGAATAGTTTGACTCCCTCTTCTTGTGGCAACCCCTGAGATATTGGAAGACTGCTATCATGTCTCCCCTAGTCCTTCTTTTCATTAAATTAGACATATCCAGTTCCTGCAACCGTTCTTCATATGTTTTAGCCTCCAGTCCCCTAATCATCTTTGTTGCTCTTCTCTGCACTCTTTCTAGAGTCTCCACATCTTTTTTACATCGTGGTGACCAAAACTGAATGCAATATTCCAAGCTTGGTATCTTTTCTCCTGAAAAATCAATGCCAAAATAAAAGTCCTTTTTACCACCTCACCAGTTTCTAAAAGAGCTGGGTTTAAAGCATTTGATTTTTTTTCCATAGGTGTTTTTTTTTTTTTTTTTTTTGCATTTGCTGATTTTTATGTCATTGATCCTGTCAACCATCCTAGAAATTATATATATTATCTTTATTCCAAAGGTGCTTTTTCAAGAGGCAACTGGTCTGTCTTGTTTTTCTTTGAAGACCTTTCACTTCTCAGATGAGAACCAAAACGTCTTCCAAGAAAAAAAGAGTCGAAGAAGTTTCTTGGATAAAAAGTGAAACAGCTTTAAAGAAAAACCAAAAAAGTCCAAAAGCACTTTTGGGACAACCATGACCTGGATGACTGAGAATCTCCATACACATATACTATCTTTAGTAACTCTACCAAAGTTTAATTAAAATATCACACAAAGCCTTGAAACTTTAGGCTTACCTATCAGTTTGCTCTTAAACCCCATAAACAATGTTAGCAGCTTTGATTGTCATCATATAGTTAAGTTTGTACAAACTCACACGTTTTGGAGATATCTTCAGGACTTCCTGTTCCCTGACTTCTTTAGTCATTATTTGGACACTTTTCTTGGATTCTTCCATGTTTATGTCCACTAATGGGGAGTACCTCAGGATCACTTGTGGTACAATGAGAACAAGCTTGACAGTTGGTTATCTAGTATCTATTCTACTATCTTTTTAAAGAATGACATATATATGTCAAACGGGATGAAATAGATAAGCCCAGGAAGGAGCAATCCTTTCAATCAGAAATTCAGAAATCTATTGACTCTGGAGCGCTATAAAATACAACCAAGCAAATCCATCATGTCCAACAGAGTTGGGAGGATCATTGGACCACACAAGTTTCGCATAAATCTTACTTTGAACCCACACCTATCTATGCACCCATACTCATACACATGCAAGTGTGTACGAGAAAGGACATTGTGATACGTTTTGATAATTGAAAAACTAGAGGGATTTTTATGATCCCTTGACCGTTGGTGACTATTTGGAGGGGAATTTACTAATTTATTATCCCTGGAATTTCTTGAAGAGCAGAAGCTGAAGGAATCCAGGAACTGATTTATCCAAGCTATCTACAAACTGCCATAAAAGGGGAAGCTGTAGAATCATTCCACCTGAATCAATCTCCCATGACACAAATAAGCAAAGAAAAAACACAGACTTTCTCTTAGCTGTGGGTGAGGAAGGATTCTAGAATTAGAATCTAGACCAAGCCAATGGTCTTTGGTTTGAAACAATATTTCAAATTCAAACTCTAACAGCCCCTCAGGAACCAATCAGATGAAGGACATCATACTATTCCAGGAGAATCTGTTGACTGTTGGAAGTGGAAAGGATTGATAATCTCTGTCAAGAAAATAGTTTAAGATGATAGTATCAAAACATCTGAACGTGTTCATTTCTGGCGGTGAAGGAAACAAAGTAGGAATTAGAGAAAAGAAGAAAAATCCACCTAGTTGTGCATAAACTCATTCGTTGGCCTCTGTTAGGTCTCTTTTGCATCAAATTTTAATTCTGTCATCTCAAAAGCAGGGTGGATATTGTCAGCTTATCTTCTCTGATGGCTTTCGTTGCCTTTGCTTTTCAAACATCTGGAAATATCTGGAAGTGCTGTCAAACTGTTGGTTTCAAACATCCGCCAATATTTCACGGATAAAAAATAGGCACAAAAACTGAAAATAAAAATAGAGCCAGTTTGGTGTTGTAGTTAAGATGTTGGCTTAAAACCAGGAGATGGTGGGTTCCAGTCCTGCCATCCATGGGATTAAAAATTGGCTGGAGATTTTGGGGCCAGTCATTCTCTTTCATCCTAACCCATTTTTAGAGGGCTGCTTTTTGTGGGGAAAATCGGAGGAGGAAAGAGTTGAGGTAGTCCTCAACTTACAACAGTTCATTTAGTGACAATTTGTAGTTACAACAGCACTGGGAAAAAAGGGACAACTTTTCACATCTATGACCATTTCAGCCTCCTCATCGTCATGTGATCAAAATCCAGACAACTAACTCATATTTATGACAGCTACAGTGTCCTGGGTGGGGTGGGGTGGTATTTTATCTTGGCTGTTCACCGCCCTGAGTCCTTCGGGAGTAAGGCGGTATAGAAATTTGTTTAAATAAATAAATAAAATAAATAAATTCATGTTAAACCACTTTTGCAACTTTCTGACAAGCAAAGTCCATGGGGAAGCCAGATTCACTTAACAGCCATGTTTCTAACTTAACACTTGCAGTAATTCACTTAACAACGGCAGCAAGAAAAGGGTTAAAATGGAGCAAAATTCACTTAACCGACATCTCGCTTAGCAATAGAAATATTGGGCTCAATCGTGCTCATAAGTCAATGACTACCTATTCCTTGCCTTCAGTTATTTATAAAAAATGATAAAAGTGGGATAAAAAATGAATAATGATCTGAGGACATTTTGGTTGAAGTTCTTTCCCAACCACGTTTTTTTCCAGAGACTTTTCATCAAGGGATGTGTGGTTTTCTCTGAGGTATGGGCCGTTTCCATTGTTTTCAAAGGCTTTTTGTGTTCCTTATAGCTTAATGTTAATTAAAACATAATTGCTACCTGAGTTGTTATGGTTTCAGCAGCACAGAAAAAACAGCTTGGAAAGGTACTCAGTAAATCATTAGAGAGGGCTCTGAAAATCTTTTGATGTCATGATGGACTTTTTTTTTTTTTTTGTAATTCAGGGCCAATGGTAGAGAGGGAATAGATGAGTGAACCGAAACCCACACATTTCTGAGGCCAAGCAAAAGAGAGCTCTCTTTTTGTAGACCTTCTCTCTCTCACACACAGACCCTCTCTGTTTTCCTGACATCCTCTTTTCTTCATCTAACAGAATAATATAAAAGAGTTGGCAGGAAACCGTATACCATTTCAAACAAACGGTTGTCCAATCTCTAAGCAGCTGGCTTCTTTGAAAGACAATGAAAGAACTTATTAGAGTTCTGATGTTATAACTTGCAAAGATCTTTTGAGTCAGGCCAAAGATAGATAGATGATAGATAGATAGATAGATAGATAGATAGATAGATAGATAGATAGATAGATAGATGATAGGTAGAAGATAGATGATAGATAGATAGATAGATAGATAGATAGATAGATAGATAGATAGATAGATAGATAGATGATAGATGGATGGATGATAGATAGATAGATAGATAGATAGATAGATAGATAGATAGATAGGTAGATGATAGATAGATAGGTAGATGATAGATGGTTGATAGGTAGAAGATAGATAGATAGATAGATAGATAGATAGATAGATAGATAGATAGATAGATGGATGATAGGTAGATGATAGATAAATAGATAGATAGATAGATAGATAGATAGATAGATAGATAGATAGATAGATAGATAGATAATACATAGATGATACATAGATGATAGATGATAGATAGATGATAGATAGATAGATAGATGATAGATGATAGATGATAGATGATAGATGATAGATGATAGATAGATGATAGATAGATGATAGATAGATGATAGATCAGTGGTGGGATTCAGCCAGTTTGCAACACTTCAGGAGAACCGGTTGTTAACTGTCTAAGCAGTTTGGCAAACTGGTTGTTGGAAGAAATCATTAGGGCAAAGAACCGGTTGTTAAATTACGTGAATCCCACCACTGTGATATATGATAGATAGATAGATAGATAGATAGATATAGATAGATAGATAGATAGATAGATAGATGATAGGTAGAAGATAGATGATAGATAGATAGATAGATAGATAGATAGATAGATAGATAGATGATAGATGGATGGATGATAGATAGATAGATAGATAGATAGATAGATAGATAGATAGGTAGATGATAGATAGATAGGTAGATGATAGATGGTTGATAGGTAGAAGATAGATAGATAGATAGATAGATAGATAGATAGATAGATAGATAGATAGATAGATAGATGGATGATAGGTAGATGATAGATAAATAGATAGATAGATAGATAGATAGATAGATAGATAGATAGATAATACATAGATGATACATAGATGATAGATGATAGATAGATGATAGATAGATAGATAGATGATAGATGATAGATGATAGATGATAGATGATAGATGATAGATAGATGATAGATAGATGATAGATAGATGATAGATCAGTGGTGGGATTCAGCCAGTTTGCAACACTTCAGGAGAACCGGTTGTTAACTGTCTAAGCAGTTTGGCAAACTGGTTGTTGGAAGAAATCATTAGGGCAGAGAACCGGTTGTTAAATTACGTGAATCCCACCACTGTGATATATGATAGATAGATAGATAGATAGATAGATAGATAGATAGATAGATAGATAGCAACTCAGCTTGATCGGCAGAGACTTTTTTTTTCTTTTAAATGCCTCTAACGATCAGGCAACTCAGCTTGGATCATCAGAGGCATTTAAAAGAAAAAAAGGGGTTTTTTTCCTTTTAAATGCTCTGACGATCTCAGCTGAGTTGCCTGATCGGCAGAGAATTTTTTTCTTTTAAATGCCTCTGACGATCCAAGCTGAGTAGCCTGATCGTTAGAGGCATTTAAAAGAAAAAAGTCTCTGCTGATCAGGCAACTCAGCTGAGATCGTCAGAGGCATTTAAAAGAAAAAAAGTTTTTTTCTTTTAAAAGCCTTTGATGATCCCAGCTGAGCCGTGGGATCATCAGAGGCTTTTTTTTTTTTTTTTTACTTTTAAAAGCATTTTTTCATGGAGGTGAGGGCAGGGATTTTTGCTACCAGTTCTCCGAACCACCCACCTCCATCGCTACTGGATCAGGTGATCTGGTCCGAACCGGGAGCATTTCACCCCTGAGTTGCTGGCTCATATTTCAGTGGTTGCCCATTAGGACATCTACATTCTCCTCAGTTACTGCTATTGGGTCAGGTTCCACCTATTCTATACCAGTGCATTGGGGTTTTTTTCTTGCCTAAGTGTAAAACCTAACTTTTCTCACCACTGAATTGTATGTTGTTGGATGGGGCCCAGTCAGGGCCGGATTTTCCTATAGGCTAACTAGGCTTCAGCCTAGGGCCTCAAGATCAAGAGGGGCCTACATTCAAATTGTTAGCAAAATTAAAATTACACTTTCACTATAGGTGAAAGGGCCTCATAAGTGGAATAGCCTAGGGCCTCTTTTCATCTAAATCCAGCCCTGGGCCCAGTGTTAAAGTCTAGAAGTCTTGAACATTCAAAGACTCTCTCTCCTAAATCTGAAAACCTAACAGTTCCCTGAGAATGAGAAACAGAAAAAAATGCAAGCCATATTTGCAATGGAAGTCAATTCTGGGGAAATTGGAGGGTATACCATATTTTTCGCTCCATAAGACACACTTTTTTGTCTTCCAAAAGTGGATGGAAATGTCTTATGGAGTGAATATTGCCGAAGCCCCACCCAGCCAATGACCCCTACCCTTCAGCAGTTTTTGACATCCGTGTGTCCCGTTTTTGGCCTCTGCGCACCTTATTTTCGGCCTCCATGCATCCCATTTTTGCCCTCCACATGTCCCATTTTCAGCCTCCGTGCACCCCATTTTCAGCATCCACTCACCCCATTTTTGGCCTCCATGCAGGACTTTCATGGAGGTTGAAAATGGGATGTATGGAGGCCAAAAACGGGATTCGTGGAGGCCGAAAACGGGAGTGTGTCTTATCGTCAGGTGCATCTTATGGAGTGACAAATACAGTACTTTGCTAAAATATTAGTCTAAATCTCAGCTAACTTGCTGGTTCTGAACCAGAAGGAATACTCCATAAATCAATCACACTGGACAGTTGAAGAAAAACAAGATTCCGTTTTTAATTCTGATTTCAAAGAAAATACATAAATAAACACAAGGGGCACAAAATTAGTTCAGAAAATAATGCCAAGATTCTTTCTTGTCTTATCTATATTGACTTGGACCTTCCCGCTTTTCTGTTTCTCCATCACTTTTCTGATATCCTTTAAAGTCTGATTTTTGGTCTCTGGGATATACAGGTAGAAGAAAATAAAGACTGCCACACAGAATGGACTGAAGAAGAGTAAGGAGTACGATCCAAGTTCCTTCTCAAGACGTAAAATGATTTTTTTTGGTGAAAAGGGAAAGAGAGAAACGGTTGTGGGATGCTTTATATCAAAATACATTTTATCCCTTATAATTTTTCCATCTTCCCTTAAACATTAACAGAATCCATAGTGAGAAGCAGGGTCTCCGCTACTTAATTGACAGTCAGTAAATTAATCAAGTAAGAATAGCAAATGTGGTGGTGGGGGGATCTTTTACTCAAACTTCCTTGAACCCCCAAATAAATTACTCAGACTCAATCCACACATCAAAGGAGAAAATCTGTAAACACAAGTAGATTTACTTAAAATGGTCTCCTAGAACAACTACGTATTCACCGGAATAAACTTCACAGATGACACGTGATCAGGGGTGAAATGCTCCCGGTTCAGACCGGTTCGCCTGAACCGGTAGCGATGGCACACAGTGGTTCGGAGAACCAGTAGCGATGGTGGCGCAAGGCTCTGCCCAGCCACCTGGTCATCGTTATTTTCTCTTTTTAACCAGGAAATAACCTGTTTTTTACCCTCTGTGCATGTGCAGAAGGGTTTGCGCATGTGCAGTGGATCCTTACGACACTTGCACTTCAAAACCAGTTGGGAAGGTAAGTAGATTTCACCCCTGCATATGACACGTACCTACACATGCCCATTCCCCTCAAGTGTTACACACTAGAACCAGCATTTACACATCTACAATTATTAATGACAAGTTCTCCTATAAAACAGTCCTTTTGTACTTTGTTTTCTCTGTAGTTAACCCCACAGGCAAATCTCTTTGCTCTTGGGAATACATAAAATTGCCTTTCCTCACAGCTGTCAGGATTTCATTTTGAATGGTTCTTGCATAACCCCGGCTCAAGTTGGAACCCCAAATTATTCTTCTGAGAGTGCCCATATAGAAGCTTATTTGTTTATTGCAAATATTGGGGACACTTCCCCACACTGTGCTCCTCCAAAGGCTACATACAAGCTGCTTCCATTCCTAGTAAATTTCATCAATGCAAAATCTTAACAACAGTTTCTTTCTTAGAAGCTAGTAGTGTATCACTTGCTTCTAGATAGCAAATAATAGCTCATCTTTTGAACCAGGGAAAACACTGAGTGGAAGGCTGAAGTGAAACAAGAGGTACCAATAAATGAGAATCATCATCATCTTTTAACAACCCCTAAATCCCTTACGGGGTGCAGTCTGGGCAACTGAATGGAGCTAGCAGAGTGTTTACTGGCCAGATGCCCTTCCTGTCACCAATGCGGAGTTTTGTTCAGCAGATATATTCCCATTGTGCCCAGAGAGAGAAATATCTGCCTCTACCTAGGATCAAACTCACAGCCTCCTGATTGTGAGATGAGAGCTCTACCTCTAGGCCACTGCATCACTCTGTACCAATAAATGAGAATATTTGTAACTGAAGGTTGAAATGAGAGGTCCTTGGTGGTTTTCTTATATTTTCTTCTTTCACAAGAAGAGTCCTCCACTCCTCTGCTCGCAACAAAATACCTTATGCCACCAGGCTTGACATAGATAGATAATAGATAAACTGGATTCAGAAAATTTAGAACTATGGCGCCTTCGGTATGACCTAAGCATAGCTCATAAAATCATCTGCTACAATGTTCTACCTATCAATGACTACTTCAGCTTCAACCACTGTTCCGAGTAAGGTGGTTTTTTGTAGAGTCAAAATGTTCAAGTCCGGCAAATTTAGGATTTCTAAATAGCGGGGTAGCCCTTTGGGTATTGCTCCGAGGGCTCCAATTACAATCGGGACAACACACGATTTCTTTTTCCACAGTCGCTCAACTTCAATTTGCAAGTCCTGGTACTTTGTGATTTTTTCTTGCTGCTTATCTTCAATCCGTGCATCACCAGGTATTGCAATGAACCATACTTTTTGCTTTTCAACTATTGTTATGTCAGGTGTGTTGTGGACCAAGTGCCTGTCAGTCTGAATCCTAAAGTCCCACAAGATCTTGAGTTTCTCATTCTCTAAAACTTTCTCAACCTGATGTTCCCAGTGATTTTTGCTGTACTCAAATCCAAACTTCTGGCACAATTTCCAGTGAATGATCTTAGCAACACGGTCATGGTGTTGTAGGTAGTCAGTTTGTGAAATTTTGCTGCATCCACTGATCAGGTGGTCGATCAGGTTATTATTATTATTATTATTATTATTATTATTATTATTATTATTATTATTATTATTAGTCCAATTTATATGCCGCCCTTCTCCGTGGACTCAGGGCGGCTTACAATGCATTATAGCAATAGCCTACATACTTTTTTGTATATACCTGCTTATTAGGGCTTTTGCCTCCCCCCCCCCAAAGCGGTGTTGTTCTATACAAAGTTGGCTTATTACCCCCACAATCCGGGTCCTCAATTTACCTACCTCGAAAGGATGGAAGGCTGAGTCAACCTTGAGCCTGGTGAGATTCGAACTTGCACTAATTGCAGGCAGCTGGCAGCTAAGTGCTAGCACTTAACAGCACTTTTGTCTGCTGCACCACCGAGGCTCTATGTCATAGTCAAGGTTCATCTTGACTATGGTTTTTTTTCCCCTCAAGATAGAGGATTTGGGATGCCACTATAGAGCATTGCATGCCCAAACCACTAGATACAAAGATGTGCCATGACTCTGCTGAACACTTAATTCCCACAGTACTATCTCATTTCTCATCTTTTCTCATCCTCTCATCTGTCCTACTATATTCTCCTGTTGACTCCTTATGAATTGTGGCTTGCTATGATCTATGACCTCTTACTTGCTGTTTATATGTACACTGGGAGCTTATTCTTTGTGTGTCCAATCACACTTGGCCAATGAAGAATTCTATGATTCTACGATTTAGCATTATAACCTAAGGCCCCCCCCCCCCGTTCTGTTCAAGGTTGTAATGCGGGGTCCTTGGTGCTCTATGTTAATTGTTACTCATTAACATAGTTAATCATAGTTCATCTATGCTGACTTGAGTGCTGATTATTGGAGGAGAAGCACTGGAGTATTTTTTTCCCCCTTTGGGGCTGGTTGACTGTCTCTTTTGCATAGTGTGTAGATGTTGTTAATGTCTATGTGTCTATTGATGGCTGATTTGTCACAGTGCCAGGCTTCTAGAAATTCCCTGGCATTTTTGGATTTGGCCTGGTCTAGGGTTGCAACATTTTCCCAGTTGTACATGGTTGTAAACTCAATGTACATAAAATGGGGTACGACTTGAATTTTAACACACCCTCTGCCATCTGGAAGTCCAACACTGGAAGTTTTTAAGAAGATGTTGGGTAACCATTTGTCTGAAGTGGTGTAGGGTTTCCTGCCTAAGCTTAGGCAGGAAACCCTACACTACTTCAGACAAATGGCTGTCCAATCTCTTTTTAAAAACTTTCAGTCTTGGAGCATTTACAACTACTGGAGGCAAGTTGTCCCACTGATTAATTGTTCTCAATGTCAGAAAAGTTCTCCTTAGTTCTAAGTTGCTTCTCTCCTTGATTAGTTTCCACCCATTGCTTCTTGTCCTACCCTCGGGTGCTTTGGAGAATAGCTTGGCTCCCTTTTCTTTGTGGCAGCCCCTGAGATACTGGAACACTGCTGTCATGTCACCCCTAGTCCTTCTTTTCATCAGACTAGACTAAGGTGACCAGACGTCCCGCTTTTGGTGGGACAGTCCCGCTTTTTAGCAATTTGTCCCGCGTCCCGCGGCGTTTCAAAAAAGTCCCGATTTTTCATTCTGCCTCCTCAGTCCCGCTGCCTCTTGAGCCCCAGCTGATGGCTAGAAGAAAAAAAAAACTGTTTAAACTCTTGCCCGGGGCTTCAAAGGGCCGCCCTACAGGCAATCAGTGTAAAGAGTTTTTTTTTCCCCTAGCTAAACTGCAGAAACGAAACCGAAACCAGGATCTTTGGTGGAACGTGACAAAATGAGGCAGAGAGAGATTTATTTTTATTTTTATTTTTCCTCCCCAAAAAAGGTAGGTGAAAAACTGCAAACAATGGGAAATTTAGGAGGAGAGTTCAAGATTTTAAAACACAAAAGAAAAAAAAGCTGTATTTAACTAGGGAATTGTAATAATTGAATTGAGATACTATTAATTGTATATTGTGTTGAAAGCAGAAATGTTTAAGTTGTGGTTCAGAGGAATATATGGGGGAAATTATTTGGTTTATTATTATTGGTAAATATAATTAATTGATTTGTAAGAAATTGGATTGCATGGAAATAATTGGAATATTCATGTTCATATTGATTAATATACAAAAAAGATAGTTTTATAACTAATTGATTTATATTAAAATGTTGAATTTGTATTAAACAACTGTATTACATAATTACATAATTAAACAATGTGAGGATGGATATAAAAATAGATGACAATGGAAAGGGGTATAATATAGAATAGAAGGGAAAAATTGAATTTGATTAAGATTAGAGATGAGGATGAAGGGTAATATTGGTTTTTTTAAAAAAATAGATGAGGCATAAATATGGCAAAAAGGAAATATAGAAATTGTAAATTTAATTGAAGTGACTAAACACTGTTTAAATTTGTGAACCGGCCAAATACTCTGTTCAAAGAAAATAAATTGTATGTTTGTATGTGTGTTTCTAATTATTGCTATTTATTCATATTTGTTCTCTTTTATTCTTTAAAGTTTAACAATTCATTCTTTATCTTAATATCTTTATATTTGCTTGGGGTTGGCTTTCTTCCCTTTCATCTTTTTTATTGTATAGCAATCTTTCTCCTCAAACCTACCACCTCTCTCTTTTCTTTCCTTCTTACTTTCTCTTCCCCCCACCCTCTTTTTCTCCTCCCTACTTCCTCTTCCTTTCTCCTTCTCCTCCTCTCTTCCTCCCTCTCTTACCCTCACTCCTACTCTAATTTCCATTCCTTCATCCCTCTCTATTGCTGTATCCTTTTATGCATATGGACTACTCAGAGGGCTGAAAAAGTTATTTTTGACTGGTCCTCGCACTTTTGACCAGTCATCGAACTTACGACTGTCTTCACATTTTATGTTTTTTGCCCTATCTTATCACCATGGTGAAGAGAAGCAGTTGTGAAATGAGTGACATGGTTGTTAAGGATGCTGCATGGGCATAAATGTGAGGATGGTCATAAGTGTGAGGACCAGTCAAAAGTGCGAGGACCTGTCAGAAATGACTTTTTTCAGCCCTCTGGTTAGTCCTTTTGTGCATATGGACTACTCAGAGGGCTGAAAAAGTTATTTTTGATTGATCCTCGCACTTTTGTCCAGTCCTCAAACTTACGACTGTCCTCACATTTTACATTTTTGCCCTATCTTGTCATCATGGTGAAGAGAAGCAGTTGTGAAATGAGTGACATGGTTGTTAAGAATACTGCACGGGCATAAATGTGAGGATGGTCATAAGTGTGAGGACCAGTCAAAAGTGTGAGGACCTGTCAGAAATGACTTTTCAGCCCTCTGAGTAGTCCCTATACACATAGCCATGGCCACCCGGTCACATGACCAGCTAGCCACGCCCACCCAGTCACATGGCCTCCAAGCCACGCCCACACAATAAGTCACGCCCACAATGGTGTCCTTCTTACCAATGTTAAAATCTGTTCACCTTACCCTATACACATAGCCATGGCCACCCGGTCACATGACCAGCTAGCCACGCCCACCCAGTCACATGACCAGCTAGCCACGCCCACAAAATAAGCCACGCCCACAATGTCCCTCTTTACCAATGTTAAAATCTGGTCACCTTAGACTAGACATACCCAGTTCCAGCAACCGTTCTTTATATGTTTTAGCCCCCACTCCCCTAATCATCTTTATTGCTCTTCTCTGCACTCTTTCTAGAGTCTCAACATCTTTTTTACATCGTGGCGACCAAAACTGGATGCAATATTCCAAGTGTGTCCTTACCAAGGCATTATAAAGTGGTATTAACACTTCATGTGATCTTGATTTTATCCCTCTGTTTATGCAGACTAGGACTGTGTTGGCTTTTTTGGCGGTTTCAGCACACTGCTGGCTAATATTTAAGTGCTTGTCCACCAGGACTCTAAGATCCCTCTCACAGTTACTACAATTGAGCAAAATACCACATATACTGTACCTGTGCATTTTGTTTTTCTTGCCTAAATGTAGAACCTTACTTTTTTCACGATTGCATTTCAGTTTGTTAGATAGCGCCCAATGTTCAAGTCTTTCAAGATCCTTCTGTATACCAGTGAAATCCTCTGTGAGGTTCTGTGAGTTGGCTACTGTGTGCGCTTCATGCGTGCATGCGTGCTATGCGCCCATGTGCTCCTGAGGCGTGCCCACGCAGCACTAAAAAAGATTTTGAAGCTTTCTGAGTCTGCAAAGGTAAGTAGAACAGCAAGGGGGGGGGAATCTGCTGTGCCATGCGATTTAGATTAGCTAGAAAGCAGGAAATCCGATGATTCTACCTAATATAAATTGTGCGTCACAGCTGATCATCGCCCAGCTATTCGTTGGAAATACCGATTCACCCAAACCGGTAGCATTTTTTACTACCGGTTTGGGAGAACTGGTCTGAACCGGTAGCATTTCACCTCTGCTTCTGTATCTTAAGCCTATCATAATAAACTCTGTTCAATAAACCACAGCATTTCCACTAAGCTTCAGAGTCACTCACCTTCATTTTACCATGCATCAATGTTAGGAAAATATTGGCTGCGCAGTATTCAAATCCTGCAATTGCAAAAGCTGATGCTCGTGATGACTGAAGGAACAATTCCAGTGAAATTATTACTGAAATTATACCTTGGTAGAGAGAAAAAGATATAAGTCACGGAATGTCCTTTCCCATTGATCAGGATCCTCTCTCCCCCCACCCCCACATCCCCATCTCTTCCCAAAACTTGCATTTCATTCACTTACTTGGTCCCATGCAAAATGCAGCAATGAAAATGACAAGCAGACTGACGCAGAAATAATTCAACAAACTGGTTTTCTGTGGGAGAAAATCGATCAGAATTGAGCAAAGCGTCTATGAAATTGCAACGTTTGTTGGAAAGGAACATCCTAAAGATTGTCATGGAAAAATCCAATGAAAGGAACAAAAGGCAGCAACACAAAACAACAATTCTTACTTTGAGATCCAGAGGTTTATTTTTCTAACAACTTGGAACATAAACAACAATCATAACACAACTGACAGTAATAACCCATTGCAAGGAGGTTCACTCACATAGCTGGGCGAGCAAGGATCAGCTATAGGCCAGTGGCCTCGAACACATTCCTATGTCTGTGGTTTATACTCTTCTGCACACATTTCACAACTTACTTCCTTGTTCTTTTTTACTGACCACTACTTTCTAAATACCAGTGGTGGGTTCCTCCCGGTTCGGTCCAGTTCGGCAGAGCCGGTAACGGTGACAATATGACATCACCGAACCAGTTCTCTTTGTTTGGGAGGTGGCCCCTCCGCCCCCCCACCCATGCTATTCTTACCTTTTATTTGGCCCCAATCTATTGCTGCCTCCCAAGTCCCAGCTGATCGGCTAGAAGGAAAAAATCTGTTTAAACTCTTGCTGTGGGGCTTCAAAGATCAAAGCTAGAGCTGATCAGCGTTAAAAGGCAGTGTGGTGGTAGACCGGTGCCTCCAAAAACAAATGAGTAGATTGGTACAGCTTTGCAAGTTGTTAAAAGCCTGGTAGATCAGTACCTCTGCTAAATCCTAAAGAATTGTCACATGATCAATAATAATAATAATAATAATTTTATTTCTATACCGCCCTTCTTCCGAAGGACTCAGGGCGGTGTACAGCCTATTAAAAGCACAGACAAACATCAATTAAAATTATTTAAAATTATTAAATAATTCGGCTCAATTTAAAACCCCAGATATTTAAAACACCCAATTTAAAATTATTATGTGGATAGCCCGGTCTGGCGGAACAACAGGGTCTTGAGTGCACAGCGAAATACCCGGAGGTCGGAGATCTTATGCATTTCCGGGGGCAGTTCATTCCATAGGGCTGCGGCTCCCACAGAGAAGGCCCTCCCCCTGGGTGTCTCCAGCCGACATAATTTGGCCGATGGCACCCTGAAGAGACCCTCTCTGTGAGAGCAAACTGGTCGGTGGGAGGCTATTGGTGGCAGAAGTCAGTCTCGAAGGTACCCGGGTCCTATGCCATGGAGCGCTTTAAAGGTGGTGACCAACACCTTGAATCGCACCCGGAAGACCACTGGGAGCCAGTGCAGCTCGCGTAGGAGGGGTGTCACGTGGGCATAATGAGTTGCGCCCATAACCACCCATGCGGCCGCATTCTGGACCAGTTGGAGCCTCTGAGTGCTCTTCAAGGGGAGCCCCATGTAGAGAACATTACAATAGTCCAGCCGGGAGGTGACAAGGGCGTGAGTGACCATGCGCAAGGTGTCCCGGTCCAGAAAGGGCTGCAACTGGCGAATCAGGCGAACCTGATAAAAGTCACATATGCTCTTCTAAAGACAGCCATGCATCCAGGAGGACACCCAGATTGCGAGCCCTCTCTGTGTGGGGCAAAGATTCACCCCCAATAGTCAGCGACGGCACCTGCTGACTATATCGGGATGCCGGAAATCACAGCCACTCGGTCTTGGAAGGGTTGAGTCTGAGCCTGTTCCTCCCCATCCAGACCCGCACGGCCTCCAGGCAGCGAGACATCACATCAAGGGCATCGTTGGGGTGGTCTGGGTGGAGATGTACAGCCACGCCCACAAAATAAGCCACGCCCACAGAACCAGTAGTAAAAAAATTTAGAACCCACCCCTGCTAAATACATATAAGTACATCTGAAGCAGTGGAGAAATACAAATTTTTGTACTACCGGTTCTGTGGGCGTGGCTTGGTGGGTGTGGTGTGGCTTGGGCATGGCAGGGGAAGGATGCTGCAAAATCCCAATTCCCTCCCCACTCCTGGGAGAAGGATATTGCAAAATCTCCATTTCCACCCCACTCTAGGGCCAGCCAGAGGTGGTATTTGGAGGCGGTTCTCCAAACTATTCAAAATTTCCACTACCAGTTCTCCAGAACCTGTCAGAACCTGCTGGATTTCACCCCTGATCTGAAGCCTCTATCCATCTGCCACTTTCAGTTCCTTATTTTTCACAGTTTCAACCTTCTATGTCCAAATTTATTTATTTATTTATTTATTTATTTATTTATTTATTTATTTATTTATTTATTTATTATATTTATATACCGCACTTCTCCCGAAGGACTCAGGGCGGTGAACAGCCAAGATCAAATACATAAATATAAAAATTAAAAACAATTTAAAACCAGATTAAATACTTTGGCCCATAATTAAAAAAGATCCCATTAAAATCCAATTTAAACTTTAAAACCTTTAAAATTAGGCTAGCCTGGCTTGCTGGAATAACAAAGTCTTCAGGGCACGGCGGAAGGTGCGCAAGTCCGAGATCCTCCGTACCTCCGGGGGCGGCTTGTTCCATAGGGCAGGAGCCCCCACTGAGAAAGCTATTCCCCGGGGGGGTCGCCAGTCGACATTGTCTGTCCAACGGCACCCCAAGGAGCCCCGCCCTGTGGGAGCGTACTGGCCGGTGGGAGGCTGTCGGTATCAGAAGGCGGTCCCGTAAGTACCCGCAAATACTTTGCAAAATCATGTTTCACAATTAGCAACAGCTCAGCAGGATTACAAACAGTTCTGGTACATTTTGAAACTAAGTTCAGGCATTTTCAGAAACTGTTGTTCCTGTCCATAACTTTTCTTTAAGGGCTCTGAAATTTTGACAGCCAACTGTGACATTTGGAGTTTGTATCATTCTTAGCTTTTTTTTTTTTTTCCCTCCATCTTGGCTTTTTTACCTGATATCGTAATATTTCAAGCACCACAACCATCAAAATGAGACTAAGAGTACAAATTGCAAGGCCACCGAGAAAAAGAATCCTTCGGCCCAAGTGGTCAACAAGATATGCCTGAAAAATATTAAAGATCAAGAAGCATGAAGAGGTGATAGGTTAACACAAAGGCAAACTATAACAAAAGGTTCCAAAGAGCAAGTAAAAGCCAGAAGGATTAACCAGGTGTACCCCTACACAAATCTACTTGTGTTTCAATTGCATCCATTTCTGGATTGAAATGTCCTATTCATTGTCCCAAAGGTTTTTTTTTTTTTTTTCAAGATGCAACTGGACTTTCTGAATTTTCTCTGAAGATGTTTCGCTTCTCATCCAAGAAGCTTCTTCAGCTCTAATTGGATGGTGGGAAACGGAAGGGTTTATACTCCTTGCAGCAGTGGGGAAATGTAAAATTTGTTGCTACCAGTTCTGTGGGCATGGCTTGAGGTGGGGGGGATTAATGTGAATGGGTGGGCATGACCAACTTTTTTTTTTTTACTTTTACAAGCATTTTTTCTGCAAACTCTTCGGCTGAAGAGGTTGTAAAAAAATGCTTTTAAAAGGCTCTGACAATCCCAACTGAGTTGCCTGATCGTCAGAGGCTTTTGTTTTCTTTTAAAAGCATTTTTTTCTTTTTGCTTATAAAAGAAAAAAAAGCCTCTGACGATCAGGCAACTCAGCTGGGATCGTCAGAGCCTTTTAAAAGCATTTTTTCTACAAGTCCTTCGGCCAAAGAGATTGTAGAAAAAAATGCTTTTAAAAGGCTCTGATGATCCCAGCTGAGCCACATGATCATGAGAGGCTTTTTTTTTTTTTTTTACTTTTAAAAGCATTTTTTTGGCCAAAAAAAAAATTCTTTTAAAAAAAAAAAAAAAAAAAAAAAAGCCTCTCATGATTGCGCGGCTCAGCTGGGCATGTGGGAGGGCAGGGATTTTTGCTACCGGTTCTCCGAACCACCTGCTGCCATCGCTACCGGATCGGGTGATCCAGTCCGAACCGGGAGCATTTCACCCCTGCCTTGCAGACAGCTGGTCATTTGTATTCTTTTAACAGATCATTAAGGTCACTTGGAGGTTTATCTGTGTCATCAAGATCACCTGGGTGGTTCAAATTGGTGTGGAGCCTTCTTGGAACCGTTGAGAGTTTGATAAAGTTGCGTGGGTATCCGTTTTCTTGGAATATGTTACATAGATGCTCTATTTCCCTTTTCTGCTGTTCCGGGATAATATGATGAGACAGACAGCCATAAACCTGTCTGTCTCATTATATTATATCTAGACTACAGCTACCTGTCCTGTATATAAATTTATCATGAGGACAATTAGATGTTCCACAGACTGACACAGCTAACACAATCAAATGCCTTTAATCGATGAAACATATATTGACTACTTTTTTAAAATCATTTTTGGCCTTTTCTAATTATCCCATGTGCATTAATAATACTGTCTCTTTTGAAAAACCACCCCAAACATCTGGCATCTCCCTTTCCATATAAAGCTGAGCAGTATTTTGCTACCAAGGAAAATTACAATATTTGGTTTCAAAATTTTTGGAGCATTATTTTTAAATATGTAAAGGTTCTTTGCAAAACTTCTATTTTGCAAAGAGAAAAAAAAAAACAACAGAATATTTTGATAGCTTATCGCTGAATGCCAGCAATAGAATCTCATCAGGTGCGACAATAATTTTTGGGGTCCAGATGCAAACCAGAGGATAGAGAGTATCCATTCTCAAATTAGAAGTTAAGAGGAATGAAAGAAAAACAAAAACTTACCGCTAGCATAGATGTGAAGCAGAGAAGGAAGCTTATGCCTATTTTCAGGAGCCACATGGTTTTGTAAGTCAATTCTGTACTCCGCAAAATTTTATAATTATTATAATAAAACTGAAAGCAGACAAGAGAGCAATTAAACAGTTTTAGCTGAATGGAAGAAGCTACTGAGGCTTCAAGATGTTTCTAAACTGTAACTCCTAGCCTGCCAAGGAAGCATAGACTATGGTAAGGGGTGCTGGGAATTGTATTTATTTATTTATTTTTATTATTCAAACTTCTATACCGCCCTTCTCCTTTCGGACTCAGGGCGGCGAACAGCCAAAATAAAAACATTTATACATAACATTACAATTAAAAACAGATTTAAAATAATTAATAAATTTGGCCCATAATTTAAAATTTGTCAGTTTAAAATCAGTATCAAAATTTTAAAAACCAACCCTAAAATCAAGACAGACCGGCTAACTGAAAAAAGTAAGTTTTTAGGGCCCGACGAAAAGTCCTGAGGTCTGGTATCGTGCGTATCTCTGGGGGTAGGTCGTTCCAGAGGTCAGGTGCTGCCACAGAGAAGGCTCTCCCCCTGGGGGTCTCCAGCCGGCATTGTCTGGCCGACGGCACCCTGAGGAGGCCCTCTCTGTGGGAGCGAACCGGCCGGTGGGAGGCTATTGGTGGCAGAAGGCGGTCCCGTAAGTACTCCAAGCCATGGAGTGCTTTAAAGGTGATCACCAACACCTTGAAGTGCACCCGGAAGTCCACTGGAAGCCAATGCAGCTCGCGCTTAGCTCCTCGGAGAACCAAGGAGCTAAGTGAGTTCAGTGCCGGGTCAGAGGCCGCAAAGGCACGACCCGGTCCAAAGCCCCGGCAGCCGCCCTATCCCAGGCGGCCACCAGATCATGAGCTAGAGTCTCAGGAAATGGCCCAAGCTATTTAGTTCAGAAATGTCTTCAATGCTACCACTTGTCTACTTCTAATATGAACATTTTGAGAATCTGATAAACAAATTGAAATGGGAGAGTCAGCTGCCCTTTGAGTATCTTTATTTCCTAGAAAATATTGTTTGTCTGAAACCAGTCTTCCATATCCTAGAATTCTTCAGATGTGGGAAGCTATTATATGAATGACTCACAGACCCATGACAAGATCCATCATAAGACCTTCACCTGATATGTCCCTTCCATCATAGGGGCTACTGATCACACGAAGCCCTTATAAGCAGAAAAACACCAACACCAACATTCCCTAAACTCCACTGAAGCTGTTACCTAGCCTGGTAATGAAACGTTTGGAAGCCAACCCACAAGCACAGAGAACGAACTTCCACTCTGATTTCTAGGACTATCAGGCTACACATCTAAAGATATCAGGTAGATGTTTTAGATTTATTCCCCCAAATTTGTGGACTGAATCATGACATCTTCCCAGAACACGTCTTCAAAAGTGAAATGGCTTTCTTCTCCCCTCCAAAAAATTAATAACAATAGGAACTCAAAGAACAACAGATTTAAAAAAGACGGGAACAAGAATGCTTAATGCACAAAAAATGGAAGGATCTTTGGATTCCCACCATGGACAAACGGCTGCAAAAGGTGATGGGGTTAGCAGAGATGGCTAAATTGACTGCTCTGATTAAAGGAGAAAAAAAACAATTAATTTTGTGTCTATTTGGAAACCACTTTTGGACTTTGTGCTTCAGGTGAGAAAAAAATGAAATGATTTTCGATTTTTCTGATTAGATAGGTTTGTTGTTATAAAAATGGCTAGTATATACTATTATATAAAAGTAAAAAGTTGAGGTTTGATAAAGGTAAAGGTTCCCCTCGCACATATGTGCCACTCGTTCCCGACTTTAGGGGGTGGTGCTCATCTCCATTTCTGAGCCAAAGAGCCAGCGCTGTCCGAAGACATCTCCATGATCAAGTGGCCAACATGACTAAAAGCGCATGGAACGCTGTTACCTTCCCACCAAAGGTGGTCTCTATTTTTCTACTTGTATTTTTTATGTGCTTTTGAACTGCTAGGTTGGCAGAAGCTGGGACAAATAACGGGAGCTCACCCCATTACGTGGCACTAGGGATTTGAACCACTGAACTGCTGACCTTTTGATCGACAAGCTCAGCATCTTAGCCACTGAGCCACCATGTCCCTTCTGAGGTTTGATGTTACTACCTTATTCTACTGCACCGAAAGGAATCAGAAGTGAATGCATTTCTTTTTCTTTTTCCTTTCTTTTTTTCTCTTCCCCTTTTCCTCCCTTATTTCCCCATTATCTTCATGTTTCTTTGTATGACTGTATTTTATATTTTTCATAAGTTAACAAACATATTTGAACCTGAAGAAATTAAAAAACAGGCAACCCCAAATAAGAAAAAAGAAAAGAAATCTTATATATTATATTTATTAATAATCGCTGGTTTACTAATCAATCCACTGCTATAATAGAATCAATGTAAAATTGTATTGCAAAATAAAATTACAGTTGTAAAACTGTAACACCTCTGACATAGTAACATACATTGCTGCACTCTTTGGTTAGTAGAAATGATTGCTTTTTCCAGAACAGGTAGATCACCCATTTCTGATCACCATTTCTTAGCATCTGGAATAAGATCACATTTCCAACATCTCAGTGACATCCTTTTATCCACTCTCCATGCTCAGTGCAATCATAATTCCTAATTACAATCAGATGCCAAAGCTTAGGTAGATACTTCAGCATCATATTAACATCTTTAACACGGAAGATTTTCCCCTTAATTCATAAAAACAATCAAATGATCACAATAATCATATCATGTAGCAGAGTTGGAAGGGTCCTTTTTTTTAAAAAAAAAAATTGATTTATATGCCGCCCTTCTCCGGAGACTCAGGGCGGTCTACAATGCGTTAAGCAATAGCCTTCATACTTTTGTATATTTATACAAAGTCAGCTTATTGCCCCCACAAACTCTGTACTTTGTGGCAGCCTCTCAATTATGGGAACACTGTTATCATGTCATCCCTAGTCCTTCTTTTTGTTAAACTAACCATACTCAATTCCCGCAACCATTCTTCATATGTTTTATCCTCCAATCTCCTAATCATCTTTCTTGCGCTTCTCTGCACTTTTTCTAACGTCTCAATAACTTGTTCATATTGTGGTGACCAAAACTGGATGCAGTATTCCAAGTATTCCAAGCTCACGTCCATCCAGTCACCCCAATTCTACTCCAAATTAAAGGACTCGAGGATCATAAAAATAAAATTAAAAAATCCCTGGTTCTGAAAAATCCTTTTCTCGTGCTAATTAAAGTAAGAGTGTAGAGATGCTAGTGCTCGACTCACAGCCATTCATTCAGCAATCGTTTGAAGTTATGATGGCATTGAATGATGGTTATGACCAATCTTTGGAACTTCATTCCCAACTGGTGTTTCTTGCACACCTTCACTTTATGACCACATCACTTAGCAATGGAAATTCTGCTCTCCATTTTCATTTTTGAGCATTACCTTGTACTGTATCTGGAAGGTACCCAGAAACCTATACTTAGATAAATGTACAGAGCCTGTAGTACAGTGGACTAAAGCACTGTTATTAACAGATTAACATCTGCTGCTTGCAATTACTGCAAGTTCAAATCTCACCAGGCTCAAGGTTGACTCAGCCTTCCATTCTTTCAAAGGTAGGTGAAATGAGGACCCAGATTGTGGGGGCAATAAACTGACTTTTTATAAATATACAAAAGTATGAAGGCTATTGCTTAACGCATTGTAAGCCGCCCTGAGTCTCCGGAGAAGGGCAGCATATAAATTAAAAAGAAAAAAAAATGTGTCTAAGGACAGGGGAGGCTACTGTGGCAAGGCTGAGGGAAAGAATGGGATAGGATAGGGAAGGCTTCTGTGGGGCAAGGCTGAGGGAGAGAATGGGATAGGATAGAGGAGGCTTCTGTGGGGCAAGGCTGAGGGAGAGAATGGGATAGGATAGGGAGGCTTCTGTGGGGCAAGGCTGAGGGAGAGAATGGGATAGGATAGGGGAGGCTTCTGTGGGGCAAGGCTGAGGGAGAGAATGGGATAGGATAGAGGAGGCTTCTGTGGGCAAGGCTGAGGGAGAGAATGGGATAGGATAGAGGAGGCTTCTGTGGGCAAGGCTGAGGGAGAGAATGGGATAGGATAGAGGAGGCTTCTGTGGGGCAGAGCTGAGGGAGAGAATGGGATAGGATAGGGGAGGCTTCTGTGGGCAAGGCTGAGGGAGAGAATGGGATAGGATAGGGGAGGCTTCTGTGGGGCAAGGCTGAGGGAGAGAATGGGATAGGATAGGGGAGGCTTCTGTGGGGCAAGGCTGAGGGAGAGAATGGGATAGGATAGGGGAGGCTTCTGTGGGGCAAGGCTGAGGAAAGAATGGGATAGGATAGGGGAGGCTACTGTGGGGCAAGGCTGAGGGAGAGAATGGGATAGGATAGGGGAGGCTTCTGTGGGGCAAGGCTGAGGAGAGAATGGGATAGGATAGGGGAGGCTTCTGTGGGGCAAGGCTGAGGGAGAGAATGGGATAGGATAGGGGAGGCTTCTGTGGGGCAAGGCTGAGGGAGAGAATGGGATAGGATAGGGGAGGCTTTGTGGGCAAGGTGAGGAGAGAATGGGATAGGATAGGGGAGGCTTCTGTGGGGCAAGGCTGAGGGAGAGAATGGGATAGGATAGGGGAGGCTTCTGTGGGCAAGGCTGAGGAGAGAAGGATGGAGAAGGAGGAAGAGGAGGATAGGGAGGCAGCTAGGGAGAGAATGGTAAGGGAGCAAGAGAGAAGAAGGAAGGATGGATGGGGAAGAGGGCAAGGCTGAGGGAGAGAATGGGATAGGATAGGGGAGGCTACTGTGGGGCAAGGCTGAGGGAGAGAATGGGATAGGATAGGGGAGGCTTCTGTGGGGCAAGGCTGAGGGAGAAGAATGGGATAGGATAGGGGAGGCTACTGTGGGGCAAGGCTGAGGGAGAGAATGGGATAGGATAGGGGAGGCTTCTGTGGGGCAAGGCTGAGGGAGAGAATGGGATAGGATAGGGGAGGCTTCTGTGGGGCAAGGCTGAGGGAGAGAATGGGATAGGATAGGGGAGGCTTCTGTGGGGCAAGGCTGAGGGAGAGAATGGGATAGGATAGGGGAGGCTTCTGTGGGGCAAGGCTGAGGGAGAGAATGGGATAGGATAGGGGAGGCTTCTGTGGGGCAAGGCTGAGGGAGAGAATGGGATAGGATAGGGGAGGCTTCTGTGGGGCAAGGCTGAGGGAGAAGAATGGGATAGGATAGGGGAGGCTACTGTGGGGCAAGCCTGAGGGAGAGAATGGGATAGGATGGGAGACGTTTCTTTGGGGCAAGACTGAGGGAGAGAAGGGGAGAGGGGAGGCCGATTATAATTACTCATTAATTTTCAAGCTGTAACTGTCAATTTATCAAGCCTGATCACATAGTTTCGTAGCGGAGCACGGGTATTCAGCTACTTTTGATATATGTGTCTGACTTACTTCATGAAAGCCAGAAAGCTGTGTCCCGGCCATTATGACAACCATACAAAAATGGCTCCATGTGACATTTGAGATTTTGCCCAAATGAATTATATCTGTTTTCTTCTCTTCCTTCTCTGAAAGGTTCTCTTGCCGAAGTTCTTCAATTTCTTGTTCCACGTCTCCAGTCACCCTTAACCTCCACAAGACTGAGTGGGAAGAAAAGAAGAAAACAAACTCTGAAATGGAAGTGAAGGAATGATTTTCAGGTCCCACCCCCTTCTTGCTCATCAAGACCAAGATTGAAGACAAGTTCGTAGACATCTCCAGGAGAAGGAACCGATAGGTTTTAATACTGTTTTTTGTTGTTGTTGTTCAAATTAAATAAGAGATATCATTCAGCCACCATTTTTAGGGATAGAATAGGGAACCTGAAATGACGAAGTCTATTACCTACCTTAGAATATATTTTCTTGCAATGGAATTGGTCGAAAGAGCATTAGGTGCATTACATCAAATTTTATTTATTTATTTTTTATTTGTTGTTAGTTGCAAAGTCGTGTCCGACCCATCGCGACCCCATGGACAATGTTCCTCCAGGCCTTCCTGTTCTCTACCATTCCCCGGAGTCCATTGAAGCTCACGCCAACTGCTTCAGTGACTCCATCCAGCCACCTCGTTCTCTGTTGTCCCCTTCTTCTTTTTCCCTCAATCATTCCCATAATCACTGGAGAAGTGATTATTTCTATCTCACTTTTATTGCTTGAGGTAGCAAACATATCCATCACAACTTATTTCTCCTATTTTCTCCACAACAACAACCCTGTGAGGTGAATTGGGCTGAGAGAGACTGACTGGATCAAAGTCACCCAGTCAGTTGTCATACCTAAAGTGGGATTAGAACTCGCTGTCTCCTGGTGATTAGTCCAAAGTCACCCAGATAACTTTCATGGCTAAAGCAGGATTAGAACTCACAGTCTCCTGGTGATTGGCCCAAATTCATCCATTTCAGAGGTGGGTTGCAACAGGTTCTGACCAATTCTGGAGACCAGTACCGGAAATTTTGAGTAGTTCAGAGAACCGATAGTAAAAATTCTGATTGGCCCCGCCCCAATCTATTCTCTGCCTCCCAAGTCCCAGCTGATTGGGAGGAAATTGGGATTTTGCAGTAGCCTTCCCCTGGAGAGGGTTGGGAATGGAGATTTTAGTTTCCTTCCCCTGGAGTGGTTTATCTTATACTCTGAAAAATACGGTAGTTGTCTATTGTATACCTTTTTGAATTCATATTAGGGTTGCCAGGTCTGCTTCCAAAAAATAGCGGACAAGTGGGGGGGGGTGTTAAGTAGTAAAAAAATAAAAAAAAATTTACAATTAAATTATATATTTTCTTACAAACATTTTAACACGTATTAAAATAATCACTTCAAAACTTTACTTAAAATTCAAAACAGCAAATATATTATAATAATATGTAAAATATTAAATTACATTTTACTTTGCTGTCGTGTGTATTTTTTATTTGACTGCGCAGCTTTGATCAATTCTTTGTGTTTAAGGAATAATTCTTTAATTTCAGTACAAAGTTGAGAAATATTTAAAAATATACAAAGTTCACTTCGAACTGATACAAGCAGTCAGTTACGTTCATCAGTCCACAAATTTCCCATGATGCTGAAAATTCGTTCAACGTTTGCATTTGATACTGGAATTGATGCACAATACTGGAACAGTTTCAGTAAACTCGGAGCTGGCTCTTTCTTGAAAAAGTACATCCACTTATCAAGGGATGAATCGCCCTGCAGATGAACATAAACTTCTTCTAAGGTAGAAATTTCATCGAAGAGAGTATTGGGTGGAAGTTCTTCTCGCCATGGTGATAATAACCAGATGTTTGTCATTTCTTCTAAAGTTGGAGGATTATTGCGATCAATTAGATTGAAACAACTTAGTGTCTCATATACTGAATCAGTGAAATTATACACTTTTCTAGGTACGCAATGGCTCTTTGATACACGTTGATGGCTTCTTTCTTGAATTTTTGCACGGCATTCTCAGGCAAATGTTTTTTATGTAAGGCAAATAAAACTTTCATTCCAAAAAACTGCTCATTGTATTTTTTTTGCAAAGAATCACGCAGCTTACACATGATAATGTGAAGATCACATGCAAGAATTTTCTTACTTTCCAGCTTCAGTAGGGTGTCTTGCATTATTGACATGAAGAAGTGCGTGAAATATAAATACAATTCTGAAATTGTTGGTTCATCGTCCTTTGCGAGTTCATTTTCCTGATCCGAAATAAGGTTCCAGATAACCTTATGGCACTCATCAGATCCAAGAGAAATAAAATACTTATTTTAGAGGTATCCAGTTTAAAAGAAGTCTTTCGACCGCTTTAAACAAACTTAACCAACGTGTTGGAACATGGCGCAAAACTTCATGGAATTCTGACTCGCAAAACTCAAAAAATGATTTCAACTCTTCTCGTTTCTTCGCAGAATTCGAAAATTCGGCAAAAATTCAGCACTACATTTTTGATATCAAAAGATAACTGCTTTAATGCATTTTTGCGCTGTTGTGTAAAATATGATTATTGCAATGAGCATTTGATCTTTGTCTCATTCTAACTTATGAAAAAAAAGACAAAACGCGATTCTCCTATCCTTATTCTCTTAGACTGTACAGCTTTAGATTATGTACCATTTCATCATAAAGCTTTTGAATAAAAAAAATGTCCACTATTTTGTGAAAAAAAATAGTGAACATAATGTGAAAAAAGTGGATTGTCCGCTCAAATAGTGGACACCTGGCAACCCTAATTCATATTGTCACTGCTACTGGCTCGGTGAAACCGGGAGGAACCGGGAGGAACTCACCACTGGGTGGGGAGAAACCAAAGGAGGCAGGGAATCCCTCAAGTATCCTACTCCTGTGCCAAGTATGATTTCATAAGTGATAATCAGTACCATTAATTGCACCCAGAAACCTACTGAGTGCAGCTCCCAAACCAGTGGGGTTACATGGGCATACCATGATGTCCCCACACTCCGTTTTCTAAGCACAAACACTAGAATTTCCCTTTCTGTCCTCCATTGCCATCGAATTACAGTTCCCCAAATTATAGAATAACAGAGTCGGAAGGGACCATGGAGGTCTTCTAGTCCAACCCCCTGCTTAGGCAAGAAACCCTACACTACTTCAGACAAATGGTTATCCAACACCTTCTTTAAAACTTCTGGTGTTGGAGCATTCACAATTTCTGGAGGCAAGTTGTTCCACTGATAAATTGTTAATTGTTCTAACTGTCAGGAAATTTCTCCTTAATTCTAAGTTGCTTCTCTCCTTGATTAGTTTCCACCCATTGCTTCTTGTCCTACTCTCAGATGCTTTGGAGAATAGTTTGACTCCCTCTTCTCTGTGGCGGCCTCTGAGATATCGGAACACTGCTATCATGTCATCCCTAGTCCTTCTTTTTATAAGAATGGACATATCCAGTTCCAGCAACCATTCTTTATATGTTTTAGCCTCCAGTCCCCTAATCATCTTTCTTGCTCTTCTCTGCTGTATTTAAGTGATTGTCCACTGGGACTCCAAGATCCCTCTCACAGTCACTGCTATTGATCACGATACCACATAATTCCTTTGAGAAAAATAATAGCCCTCAGATCAATTTAGATCCACGCGCTTCACTGACGATCACATATAACAAATTCCAATGTTATTTAAAACAATAATAGTGCTGACCACTTTGTATAATGTGGTGAAAAAAGATGGGAAAGTCCTGTCAGGGCAAACAACTTCTGTACAGTACACTTTAGAGTAATTTTACCTTTCCTTGCTGTCTCTTCATCTTGCTTTTGGATCAGTAGGTATCTAGGACTTTCAGGGATTCTGGGTAGTAGGAAGGTCAGAGTCAAAGGAATTATTGCAGCCAGAATTACCATTAGATACCAGCCTGCACAAGAGGACACAACAATAACACTGAATTACCTGTGAACTGTTTTAAATCAAGATGGATTTTGCAAGCATGTATCTATATACTGTATGTTCACCTTTTTCAAATACAAGAAAGCAGATATTTTTAATAGGCTGCCTGCCACTATGCTCACGGTTAAAATAGTGGGATAGTCTAAATCAGGGGTGTCAAACTCAAGGCACAGGGCCCAGATCCGGCCAGAGGGTGCCTAGATCTTCCCCACGGGACCATCCTGGAAACAGCAAATGACTGGCCCACAGTGCCTCTGCCAGGGAAAATGGAGCTACCGGTAATATTCACTAGATTCTTTGAATCTCATTACAGTCAGAAAACAATGACGATTCCTCTGAATTATTATCTCTATGGGGTCCTTGGTGCTCTCTGAGCTTGGAGGTTTTCTTCATGATGTTTCATTACCCAACTAGGTAGCATCATCTATTTCAGTGATGGTGAACCTTTTTTCCTCGGGTGCCAAAAGTGGATGTGTGTACACAATATTATGCATGTGTGTGCCCACACCCATAATGCAATGCCCCCCACACACACCCCACCCCTGCACATGAACACACAATCCTCCCCGCGTTGCCCCGTCCCCCCTGCGCAGGTGCGTGCAACCCTCCCCACCTGCGCTCCCCTAACCACCCCCACCCCATGCATGTACGTGTAACCCAGCTGCACCCCGTTTTGGGCCTACCAGGCCTCCCTGAAGCCTCCAAAGGCCAGAAACAGCCCATTTCCGAACTTCTGGTAGGCCCGTTTTTTGCCACCTGGAGGCTCCTGAGGTTTTCCTGGAGCCTCCAAGAAGGCGAAAACTATCTCCCCCGGCCCTACAGAGACTCTCCGGAGGCCCGAAATGGCCCGTTTCCAGACTTCCAGTAAGCCCGTTTTTCTCCCTCTCAGAGCTTTCGCACGAGCCCTGTACTTCCCTGGCATCCAAAATGGACTGTGTGTAGACTCCTGGGAGGGGAGGGGCAGCATGGGCATGCGTGCGTGTCTCCCGCATCCGTGGGAGAGACCTGAAAATCAGCTGGCTGGCGGGAGGCACGTGTGCCTGCGCGGTGGAGCTGATCTAGGGCGACGGCTCATGTGCCCGCCGAATTGGCTCCGTGTGGCACCTGTGGCATGCGTGCCATAGGTTCGCCATTGCGGATCTATGTTAATCATTAGCACCAAATGATGTTAGCTAATTGGGTAATGAAATGTCTGCAAGAAAACCAAGAAGCTCAAAGAACACCAAGGAATCCCCTGAATTACAAATATTTTGTCTGATTGGTAGTATTGCTATATATTTTTCTTCGTTAGTTTTAATGTTTATAATTTATAGGGACATAAAAAGGGCATTCTTAAAAACACATACCATTCTTGTGTCCTATGTTTGAAGGAAAGGTGAGAATCTGAGCAATCACGTTGCCCAGTTTTACAAAGGAATCTGATAGCATGACGACACCTCCCCTTATGCATCTGGGAGAAATCTCAAAGAGGTATACATACATAATGCAGAGGTTTACACCTGGTTAGAATATAAGTTAAAAGGTAATTCAAATGTATATGGGACACAATGTAGAGAAGAAAATTAAGAGAGCATTAGAAACCATGCAGATACAATTACAGAAAGTGTATCGATTGGTTACAAATCTTTTGTGCTTAATCCCATATCCAAAATTCTCTTATTTGACAATTTATTATATCCTTTTGTATTATTATTCTCATTTACCAATTATTTAACAGTGGCTTATCTCCCATAAAAAAACCCCGCTTTATATATTTTATTATTACATCCATTTCATATTTCATTTCCATGCTTTATTATCTAGCCATTGATAAAATAAATCCCTTATCAGGTAATATTGTTTATCTTCCTGTTCTCTAATTTCAAATGTCAATTTACTCATTTCAGCACATTCCAAAATTTTCTTAATAACATCATCATCAGTAGGTATCTTTTCTCCTTTCCAGTTTTTAGCAAATAAAATTTTAGCCGCTGTTAAGACATTCACAATTAAGTATCTCAGTTCTCTGTTATATGTTTCTGGTAAAATCCCTAATAAAAATATCTCTGGTTTAAAATCAATATGTTTCTTTATCATTTTTTCCAACCATGTGTGGATTTTAGTCCAATATCTTTTAGCTTCTGCACATGTCCACCACATATGGTAGTATGAACCCGGAATCTGATGACACTTCCAATACTTCTCCGATTTGTTCTTGAACATTCTGGCTATTCTCGCCAGGGGTAGATGCCACCTGTAAAACATCTTATACAAATTCTCCTTATATGCTGTTGACATTGTCATTTTATAATTCTGCAACCACAATTTCTGCCATTTCTCTAAATCAATCCCATGACCAAAATTTTCCCCCCATGCAATCATTGTTTCTTTAACTTCTTCTTCTTCCAGTTTTACTTCTAATAGATAACCATATAAATTTTTAATAACATAGTCATCAGAGCCTGTTAAAATTTTATCTAAATTCGTCAAATTACTGTAAAAATCCTCAGTCTTAGAATCTTCATCATATCTAGACTGTATTTGCATATATGAAAACCAATCCATTTCTATCTCTTGTTCTTCTAATTCTTGCTCCGATTTAAGTTCACCCTTTTCATTCAATATTTCACCATATCTAACAATTTGTTCCTTTCTAAATGTTATTGAGTGTGAGAATGCTTCGATAGAAGATTGAACTGGAATTTTTAAGTAATGATATTTTTTGATCTTCTCCCAATTTAATAACAAAGACTCTCATATAATATGAAAGAAACCATACAGATACGATCATTGCTCTTCATCCCAAGCCATTCTACATGGAACTTTCCAAAATGTCATTCTGCCCTATACAATGTATAGGCTAGATCATTGTCTGGGTTCGAATCCCAGAAGGGCATGGCTAGCTGAGGAGAGCTAAATAGTTTGAAATAGATCTATACTAGTCTCCCTTTATTTTTTTGTCAGTAAACATAAATTTAACACAAAAATAGTTTGTCACAAGAGCGACTGCCTGTGAAGGCTCCTGGATTGGGGCTGAAAGGCGAAAACAGAAGCGGTATGCTCTGTCCTATATTTGGGTAGATCAGGTTGCCCTGATAGACCGGTCTCACCGGAAAAACACTTAATCTCCCCCTGGTACAGCCGACAAAGTAAGGAGTGCCCATGGCTTAGAGGTTAATACATCTAAAATGCAAATAGCCTGCATTTGAATCCCAGAAGGGTATGGCTAGCTCAGGGGTGTCAAACTCAAGGCTCTCAGGCCAGATCCGGTCCATGATTGATTGATTGATTGATTGATTGATTGATCTATCACATATTTATATGCCGCCCTTCTCCCAAACGACTCAGGGTGGCGAACACAAACTAAAAACATACAATGATAAAAAAAGAATCTAATTAAAACCAATTAAAATCAAAGTAATAAGTAATAAAACCCCAGAATCAGAACTCAGCCCATTTGTTGACATAGCCAAGTCTTTAGGCCTTGACGGAAGGAACGGAGATCAGGTGCCATCCGGAGCTTGGTGGGTAACTCATTCCAGGGGTAGGAGTGCCCACAGAGAACGCCCTAGCCCTGGACGTCGCCAGCCAACATTGTCTGGCCGATGGTACCCTGAGGAGGACAGCCCTATGTGAGCGGACAAGACGGTGGGAGGCGGGCAGGAGATGGTCCTGCAAGTACCCTGGACCTAAGCCTGTTTCTACCCATCCAGGCCCACACCGCCTCCAGGCATCGGGACATCACGGCAAGGGCATCCCCGGGGTGGTCCGGGGTGGAGATGTATAACTCAGTATCATCAGCATATTGATGATACCTCACCCCGGAACTACGAATGATCTCACCCAGCGGCTTCATATAGATGTTAAAGAGTAGGGGGAGAGAACTGACCTCTGAGGCACCCCACACGTTAGGGGCCTTGGGGTGGACCTCTGCCCCCCCCATACAAACTGCGAGCGACCTGAGAGGTAGGAGGAAAACCACTGTAAGACAGTGCCTCCTACCCCCAACCCCCCAAGTCACTGCAGTAAGATACCATGGTTGATGGCATTGAAAGCCACTGAGAGGTCAAGTAGGACCAGGATGGAGGAACAACCTCCATCCCGGGCCTGCCAGAGATCATTCACCAGAGCGACCAATGCCGTTTCCGTGCTGTGCCCACACCGGAACCCCGATTGGTATGGGTCAAGGTACTCCATTTCCTCCAGGAACTGTGGGAGCTGTTGCGCCACCACGGTCTCAACAACCTTCGCTATAAAGTGAAGGATGGAGATGGGCCGATAGTTATTAAATGAGTCTGGATCCAGGGCAGGCTTCTTGAGGAGGGGTCGAACCACTGCCTCCTTAAGAGAGGCGGGGAAGACCCCCTCCCTCAAAGAAGAGTTGACTATAGCCTGGATCCAGTCTCCCGTCACCTCCTGGGTTGCCAAAACAAGCCAGGAGGGACACGGATCCAACAAACACGTTGAGGCACCCAATCTATCCACAATCCTGTCCACTTCATCGACGGAAACAGGGTCAAACTCAACCCAGATACTACTCCCAAGACATACCCCAGTCTTCTGGATGGATTCTGCCCAGTCAGAGTCCAATCCAATCTGGAACTGAGCGATTTTATCTTGCAGAAACTTTACAAAATCCTCAGCTCTGCCCTGTAAGAGGTCTTCCCTCACTCCCTGATTAAGGAGGGAGCGGGTCACTCTAAACAGGGCCGCTGGGCGTTTTCTGCAGATGCAATGAGAGCAGCGAAGTGATCTCGCCTCGCCGCTTCCATCGCCACAAGATAAGACCTAATATGGGTTCTTAATTGTGTTCGATCAGATTCAGACCGGGAGGACCTCCAACACTCCTCTAGGTGTCTTTTCCAACGCTTCATTTCCCAGAGCTCCATGGAGAACCAAGGAGCCACTCGGGATCTGCGTCGGGTCAGAGGCTGCAAAGGCACGATTCTGTCCAAGGTGTCGGCAGCCGCCCGCTCCCAGGATGCCACCAGCGCCTCGGCCAAATCACGGGATTGGGAAGCGGGGAATGTCCCAAGCTCCATCAGGAACCTCTCAGGGTCCACCAGGCACCTGGGGCGGAACCATTTTACTGGTTCCGTCTCCCAGCTGCGAGGGTTGGCAGGTTGAAAGTCCAGTCTAACGAGGGAATGGTCAGTCCATGACAGGGGGACAACGGAAAATCCCCCCCTACCCCAGCCATTTATCCACTGCCCAGAGAGAAAAACCAGGTCAAGTGTGTGCCCTCCCCTATGCGTTGGGCCCTGAACCACCTGAGTCAGGTCCATGGCCGTCATGGAGGCCATGAACTCCCGAACTGGCTTAGATGTCTCACCGATCGATGGCAGATTGAAATCTCCCACAACCAGAAGGTTGGGGAGTTCAACTGCCAGTTCGGCCAAGACATCGAGCAGTGCGGGCAGGGCAGTAGCCACGCAGCTGGGAGATAGGTACGTGACCAACAAACCCAGATGAACTCCAGGGTCCCACTTCAATAGGAGAGACTCACACCTGCCTATCTGAGGGACAGTGACCTCCCTAGGACTAAGACTTTCTCTAACCACCACCGCCACCACCCCCGCCCCTTCCCTGGTGTCGCGGCTGGTGCAGTACATGAAAGCCTGCGGGGCATAAATCAGAGAGAGGAACTCCTCCCTCCTGCCCCAACCAGGTCCCTGTAATGCAAGCCAGGTCCGCCCCCTCTTCCTCAATAAGATCTTGTATGAGGAGGGCCTTATTTACTACGGACCTGGCATGATGTGGTCGAATTCAGCCAACACAGCAGTCCTGGAAATTATACAGGGCTGGCCTGTGTCGCTTTGGCCCAGTCCACGCATATGCACAGGTGGTAGCGGGCCAGCATTGCCTTGTCCATAGCTCACCTCTGAGCCACCACCTCCTCCTCCTCATCCTGGCCCTCCAGGAAGTTTCAACCTGGCCCATTTTATCATGGCAGGTGCGCCTGTGCACAGGAGGCAGCTGGGATGATGGGGATGGGGCCTGCGTGCCCACCAACTCCTATGCACGGATGTGCCTGATGACTCCTCCCCTCACCCATGGAACGCTGATCTGACCCAGAAAGAAATCAAGTTTGACAGCCCTGAGCTAACTGATGAGAGCTAAATAGCTTGAAATAGATCTATACTAGTCTCCCTTTATTTCGTTGTCGGTAAACGTAAATTCAACACAAAAATAATTTTTGTGTTGGCTCTTGGATTAGAGCTGAAAGGCGAAAGCAGAAGCAGTATGCTCCATCCCATAATTGGGTAGATCAGGCTGCCCTGATAGACCGGTCTCACTGGAAAAAACACTTATTGAACCACTACTATCATGTCTCCACTTAGCCCTTCTTTTCTCCAGACTACCCATACCCAAACTATTTGTCATATATTTTAATCTCTAGGCCACCTGAGAAACATCATGGATCTGCTCTTAGACCCCTTGAAATTTACCTACCGAGCAAATAGATCGACAGATGATGCTATTAATATGACTCTGCACTACATCCTACAACACACTGAATCTCCAAAGACCTATGCAAGGGGCCTCTTTGTAGACTTCAGCTCAGCATTCAATACCATCATTCCAGATATTCTTCTAACTAAACTAAATCAGCTAGTTGTACCTGATCCCACCTGTAAATGGATCACAAGCTTCCTAACAGACAGAATCAGCAGGTGAAGCTAGGCAAATCACATCAGATACCTGCACAATTAGCACAGGAGCCCTCCAGGGTTGTGTGCTCTCTCCACTTCTCTTCCCTCTATACACCAATGACTGGATCTCAGAAGATCCCTCTGCTAAAATACTGAAGTTTGCAGATGATACAACAGTGATCGGTCTCATTCAAGACAACAATGAATCTGTATACAGATGGGAGGTTGAACAACTAGCCTTGTGGTGCAGCCAGAACAATCTTGAACTAAATACACTCAAAATCGTAGAAATGGTGGTGGATTTTAGAAGAAAACCTCCTATACTACCACCTCTTACAATACTAGACAACACAGTATCAACAGTAGAGACCTTCAAGTTTCTAGGCTCTACCATATCTCAAGACTTAAAATGGACACCCAATATCAAAAACATCATCAAAAAAGCACAACAAAGAATGTTCTTTCTGTGCCAACTCAGAAAGCTCAAACTGCCCAAAGAGCTGCAGATCCAGTTCTACAGAGGAATTACTGAGTCTGTTATCTGCACCTCTATAACTGTCTGGTTTGGTTCTGCAACCCAACAAGACAGACACAGACTTCAGAGGATCATTAGAACTGCAGAAAAAGCAATGGCTACCAACTGCACAAATCAAAAAGAGGGCTGTGAAAATATCTACAGACCCTTCACACCCTGGACATAAATAGTTTCAACTTCTGCCCTCAAAATGATGCTATAGAGCACTGCACACCAGAACAACAAGACACAAGGACAATTTTTTCCCACATGCCATCATTCTGTTTAACAACTAATTCCCACAACACTGTCAAATAATTTACTAAGATTTTATTACTATTATTCTTCTCTTCCTTCCTAGTATCTATCTCTTCCCACTTATGACTATAACCATGTTGTTTGTATCTTTCAATTATATTGTTTTTATTTGTTTCCTAGTACGATTTGATAGCCTATTAGTAACCATAACTATCACTAAGTGTTGTATCTTTTTATTCTTGATGAATGTATTTTATTCTCCTTATGTACACTGAGAGCATATGCACCAAAGACAAATTCCTTGTGTGTCCAATCACACTTGGCCAATAAAGAATTCTTTTCTACTCTATCTTGTCTTAATCATTTTAGTTGCTCTCTACCATATGGATGCATATGTGTGCCTTGGATTGTTACTCGGAGTCTCTGATCGAATTACTTGAAAGGCATAAAGCATTTCAGGCCTGACTGGTTTTCTTTAAAGAATACACAAAGCCAAAACAATTGTGACTCTACTCACCTACACATACCCCAGTAAGCAAATGTGCACAAATGGTGAATTCGTAAACATATAACTCTGTGTCACAAGCCAAAAAGATGACCGAGGTTATGGACAAAAAATTAGTTACCACCAAAGAGCCTTTCCTAAAAAAAGAAAAAAATGAAAAAAGTGGGTAACAAGGTGAAAAATAAAATTAATGTAAATCAAAAGAACTGCAGTGAGCTTACTGGGAATCTGCATGTTTTGAAAACGATTTGAAATAAGCATTGCACAAGACATAGATGCCTCCAGAGTAGAGCCATCCATGTCTTAAGCATCCACGTCTGCTTTCCACCTTCTTCATGAGCTTGAAAATATATCTGTCTGCTTCAATCAGCGGATTCCTAATCCTTATCATTTGGAAGAATTTGTTTTGGATCTACTGGTTATGAGACAGACAGAATTTACTCAAGTTGTTTCCAAGTTTTATAAATTTCAATCAGATACCTTTAGCTTCTCAGATCCCAGCAAGCTCTGCTCAAACACTTTCATAGCAATTAGAAACATCCCTCTCCTCCACTCTCTCTTTCCCTCCCTCTTTCTTTTCCCTGCTCCTATTTATTTATTTATTTATTTATTTTATTTTATTTATTTATTAGTTCAATTTATATGCCACCCTTCTCTGGAGACTCAGGGCAGCTTACAATGCATTAAGCAATAGCCTTCATACTTTTGTATATACCTGCTTAGTAGGGCTTTCGGGCCCCCTCTAAGCGGTGTTCTTTTTTATACAAAGTCAGCTTATTGCCCCCACAACCGGGTCCTCCTGCCTACCCTTTTGTGACTTTATTTATTTATTTAATTTATTCAATTTATATGACCCAGGGCGGCTCACAATACACTCAAAATACACTCAAAATACACTCACAATACACTCTGGATGGGGAGGAACAGGCTCAAGCTCAATCCTTCCAAGACTGAGCGGCTGTGGCTCCCGGCATCCCGATATAGTCAGCTGACTCCATCACTGACTATTGGGGGAGAGTCTTTGGCCCCCACAGAAAGGGCTCGCAATCTGGGAGTCCTCCTAGATATGCAGCTGTCCTTGGAGGAACATCTGACGGCTGTAACCAGGGGGACCTTTTATCAGGTTCGCCTGATTCGCCAGTTGCGACCCTTTCTTGATCGGGATTCCCTGTGCACAGTCACTCACGCCCTCGTCACCTCTCGCCTTGACTACTGCAATGCTCTCTACATGGGGCTCCCCTTGAGGGGCACCCGGAGGCTCCAGCTGGTCCAGAACACAGCAGCGCGGGTAGTGATGGGAGCAGCATGGCGCTCCCATGTAACACCGCTCCTGCGCGAGCTGCACTGGCTCCCGGTGGCCTTCCGGGTGCGCTTCAAGGTGTTGGTTATCACCTTTAAAGCGCTCCATGCCACAGGGCCTAGCTATCTTCGAGACCGCCTGCTGCTACCAACAACCTCCCAGCGACCTGTGCGCTCCCACAGAGAGGGCCTCCTCAGGGTGCCATCAGCCAAACAATGTAGGCTGGTGACTCCCAGGGGGAGGGCCTTCTCCGTGGGGGCACCTACCCTCTGGAATCAGCTGCCCCCAGAGATAAGGAGAATCCAAGACCTCAGTGCCTTCCGCCGTGTCCTTAAAACTCACTTTTTCCAGCAAGCCGGGCTGGCTTAGGAAGAAATTTTTTAAAATTTTTAAATGTTTAATTGGTTTGTGGTTTTTTAAATTTTGGGCCAAATTTATATAGATTTTAATTGTTTTTAATATTTGTGTTTCATGTTTTTAATTCTGGCTGTGCACCGCCCTGAGTCCTCAGGGAGAAGGGCGGTATATAAATTGAAAATAAATAAAAAAATAAAATAAATAAATAAATCACTATAAAAACACTTAAAAATTAAAAACCTTAAAGACATTAAAACCCATTCACACCATTCATGGCCGGATCTCGTCAGGCCACAAAGCGAGATCAACGGCCCCAGGCCTGCCGGAAAAGCCAGGTCTTCACCACTTTTCGGAAGGCCAATAGGGTGGGGATGGTCCGGACCTCAGGAGGTAACTGATTCCAAAGAGCTGGGGCAGCCACAGAGAAGGCCCTCCCCAACAGGCCCGCCAGCAGGCATTGTTTAGCTGATGGGACCCGGAGGAGACCAACTCTGTGGGATCGTACCGGTCGCTGGGAGCTATGCAGTAGAAGGCGGTCTCGAAGATAACCTGGCCCTGAGCCATGTAGGGCTTTAAAGGTAATAACCAACACCTTGAATTGTGCCCGAAGACAAATAGGGAGCCAGTGCAGCTCGCGGAGAATTAGTTTGCTAATTGTCAAAATTTGGACATCAACTGCTCTGCAATTCTCTTATGGGCATTATTCCAAAAGAATAGATCAGCAATAGTTGGTTTCTTTTATCCAAGATAGTCTATTCCGACAACAGGAAATTGACCAAATGACATGATTCTTTAATGCAGGGATGTCAAACTCGATTTCATTGAGGGTCACATTAGGGTTGGGTTTGACCTTGGGGGGGCCGGGTGGTCGTGGCTGGGGTGGGCGTGGTTGGAGTGGGTGTGACCCCCTTGGATCCCATTTTCAGCTGGGATGGCCTTCTGAAGCCATCTGCCAGCGAAAACAGAACCCATGGTTTGTTGTAGAAAAAATGCTCTTAAAAGTAAAAAAAAAAAAAAACAGCCTCTGATGATGGCGCAGCTCAGCTAGGCATGGGGGTGGGCGGTGGGCAGAGGGATTTTTCCTCCAGTTCTCCAAACCACCGGCTGCCATCGCTACCGGATCAGGCGATCCGGTCCAAACCGGGAGCATTTCACCCTTGCACCACTGACAAGGCCCTTCTTCTGGGTCCCGCCAGATGTACTTCTTTAGGAGACGGGACCCACCACACACTTTGCCTCCCTGATCTAGTGGATCAGGAGGTGTTGTGGCCCACCAGCGGCCTGCGCGGATTGTTGCTGATCCTGACGACAAGGAGGCTGGTGTGGTGTTGCGTCAGCAGCCTGTGCAGCTGGCGCTCAAGTCGGACAGCGAGGAGGCTGAAGAAGATGTGGTGCCAGAGGCAGGGATTCAGCCAGGGCCTTCAGAACCTCCAGAGGCTCCTTTAAGTGCAGAGGATGAAGAGGTGGAGCCTCTTCTCAATGCACGGGCATGCAGAGCTGCCAAGGGCCGGAGTGGTTCTTCAGGAGGAGGTCTCCTCGAGAGTAAGGCTTGGGGCTAATTGGCCACTCCCTTAGCCTATTTAAGGAGGAATGCCGACTGAAGCAATTTGTAGGGAACAACTTTAGTTCGTTATTCATTGCATTGGGATGTCTCTGCAAACCTTGTTTCTGGGCTTTCTGCCAACTCCAGTAAGACTCTGAATATCTTATCTGTGGAATTCTGGCAGGCTGTTAAGAATGCTTATTAACAGCCGGCATTTGCTAAAACTGTGTTATTTGAGTAAACTAAGTTTTGTTCAGAGTTCGTGTGTGCTGTGTTCTTTGGGATCCGTAGCTGGGGCAGAACAGGAGGATGCGACTAGCAAGAGAAGGTCCCTCAGATTACCCAGCCTCAAGCCATGAAGGGGCTTTAAGGGTGACAATCAGCACACCTTGAATTGCACCTAGAAGCAAATTGGCAACCAATGTGGCTCCCGCAGGAGAGATAACACATGTGCACACCTAAGTATGGACAAAACTGTCCGGAAAGCTGCATTTTGAACTAAATGGAATTACTGGATGCTTTCCAAGGGTAACCCCATGTACAGTGCATCACAATAGTCACAGTTAATGGGTCTTTTTACCATATTTTCCCCAAAATAAGAGCCTGTCTTATATTTTTTTGAACCCTGAAATAAGCGCTTGGCCTTATTGCCATGCCCTCAAAAGCCCGATTGGGCTTATTATCAGGGCATGACTTATTTTGGGGGAAACAGGGTAATAGATCTTCCTCCCCATGATGATATGTTACTTTGTTCCTGCATTTGTTCTTCTTCAAATTATTCATTGCTGGTTGCAAAGAAGAGAAAATTCCACAAATTCTAGAATGGGTATCCCTGTGTTGAGAGTGATGTCCACTTACCTGCCAAATCTGTCTCCTATATAGCCAGACAAAAGTGATCCTACTAGGGCTCCAACTGGGAATAAGTCAATGGCAAGTTCCAAGAAGAACAACTGAGTAGACTGGTCAGGCAACTCGTCTAGTTGCGACACATTAAAAAAGAAATAAACGAGCTAAGGAAAAAAGGACACAGGTTGGTTCTTAGAATTTTTCCTGACATTACTTGTCTTGGTAAGATTAACATTTGAGTCAGATTTGTCCTGGACAAACTGGGACTGTAAACTAGATGAGTGTCAGACTGCGGTACTATCTCAAAATTAAATGAATTTCCAAACTGCCAATCTTTAAGGAAATCTTTCTTTAATTGAGCTCAGCCACCGGATCATGACTCCATGTGGACAAGACTGACCTTTTGCCTCCCAATCCCTCCCTTTCCGATCCCCAAATCTCTGCTTCTCATTGGCTGTCTTCCAAGTCATTCTTCAGACTTCTTTTCCTCATCATTTCCCAGGAATGTGCCCCTTCCCCTCATTTCCACGACAACCGGGCTTCAAAGGGATTTAGCAGGCAAAAGTTTCAGAGGTTATCTTTCGCTCTCCTCTGCTTTCTCTCTATGCCAGCGTTGCAACGCTGACAATGAGAAAGTTGAAAAATGTCCCAAAAGAATGCAAAGGCAAAATGTTTAGTATAATTCTCAACCCTACCCTGGAAGCATTAAGGACGTCACCAGAATCTGACCTTAATATAAACAAGAAACCCAGAAGAGTATGGCTAGCTGATGAGAGCTAAATAGCTTGAAATAGATCTATACTAGTCTTCCTGTATTTCTTTGTTGGTAATTATAAATTCAACACAAAAACAGTTTGTTGCGAAAGCAACTGCCTGCGAAGGCTCCTGGATTGATGCTGAAAGGCGAAAGCGGAAGCTGTATGCTCCATCCCATATTTGGGTAGATCAGGTTGCCTTGATAGACCTCAGATAGCAAAGCTGGCTGAGGAACTCTGGGAGTTGAAGTCCACAAATCTTAAAAGTTGCCAAGGTTCGAGACCCCTGGTGTAGATGTTTAACATGAGCACTGTGACACCGAACCCCGCATCCATGACAAAGAAATTTCTTGGGAAAGCAGAGAAACGGGCTCATTTAAGAGAAAAAGAGTTGATCTCTAATCAGGGGAGAGATCCATTGCTTAAACAACAACGCCTTCTTTAAGACGGTATTGGCTTTTCACGACGCTTTTCTTACCACTTCGGGAGAATAAAGAATCCAGCTGTAGAACCCAAAATGCAAAGAGATCGCATAGCAGGTCAGCGCACTGCAAACAAAGTACTTTGATACGCCCTAAGGGAGGGAGGGGAAATAGCAGCTCTTATGATGTGAGTTAAGGTAGCTACAGAGTTATGAGTGAATTACACAAAGCAGAGAGATGGACAGATGGACAGATGGACAATCTGAAAGAGGCATGACAGAGAAAGAGGAATGGTGGACAGCGCTGTTGATTAGTTCTTAAAACTAATTTTGTTTTTGCTTTTTTTTAATAAGATGCATTTTGAATTAACTAAATCTTCCTTCCTTTCCCTTCCCTCCCTCCCTCCCGTCCTCTTCCTCTTCCCTCCCTTATTTCCTTCTTCTTCTTCCCTCCCTCCCTCCTTTTTCCCTCCCTCCCTTCTGCTTCTGCTTTTGCTTCCACTTCCGCTTCCCCTTCCCCTTCCCCTTCCCCTTCCCTCCCTCCCTTCTTTCTTTCCCCTTTCCTCCCTCCTTTTTTCCCTCCCTCCCTCCTTCCCTACCCTCCCTCCCTCCTTTTTTCCTCCTTCCCTTCCCGCCCTCCCTTTTTCCTTCCCTCCCTCCCTCCCTCCCTTCCTTTCCTTCCTTTTCTCTTCCTGCCTGCTTTTCAGATTATGCATCATTCCAGAGAAATCCAATATTCTGTCTTCCTTAACTTTGTAAAATCCTAAAATTTTTATCATGTTATCTTAGAGATGTGAAAAGTAGCCACCGTCAGGGATCACACATGTGCAAGTGAGCCTTGCATTTTATTCCACCCCTTTTCAAAGTGTGGTGCTCGTAATGCTGCCATCCCAGGAATTGTCTATTTCAGGTTATATGAAACATTCTGCATCTATTAATGTTAATATCCCATGTTATATAATCTTGTCATATACCAACTCAGAAGTCTTGGATCTAAACATCAAGATAGATAACTAATAATCATAAACCCGCAGATTAGACAAACTACCTTCCAAGCAGTCGTGACTTCAGACATGTCTTTCGTAGGGAGCAATCAGAAATCTGGACCACCTGTTGGGAAATGAGAGGATCCTTGAGAGACATTTGAAATAGCCTTATACAGTAGGATTAACCTGCTCTTTGCTCTCTGGATTACTGACCTGCAAATTCTCCAATCTGGGTGGCCTCGTCAGTTGCAATGGTTGCATGTACACGTTATATTTATTTAGGATGTTTTTGAGTCAGTTTTTCACTCCTGGCCACTACCTCCTGGCCAACTCCCTGTAGTTTTCTTGGCAAGGTTTTTCAAAAGTGGTTTGCCATTGCCTACTTCCCAGTGCTGAGAGAGAAGGATTGGCCTAGAGATCTTGGCCTAGAAACTAGGAGATTGTGAGTTCTAGTCCTCTGTGAATGCCAGCTGGGTAACTTTAGGCCAGTCATTCTCTCTTAGCTCACCTCACAGGTTGTTTTTTCTTGTGGGGAAAAATAGAAGGAGTATGATATATGTTCACTGCCTTGAGTTACCTATAAAGTCATTAGACTTAGAAGAGACAGAATTGTCACTGCGTTTTTTTTGTATTTGTCAGCTGTGCTTGAACTCTAAGACTTACGGTAGCTGAAAACTCTTATCACTAAGCTACTGCGCATGTCCACATTCTTTCTTCCACATTCTTTCACTTTCTTCTAACTTTTTTTGTTCGCCTGCCAAAAGGTAAGACAGGAACGCTGCCAAGATGTAATCATTAGCTAGTAAGACTGTTTTTATTTCTTTATAATAAAATGTTTTTTATTAGAATATATCTCGGGTTTTATTTTCTTTAAAAAGTATACTCCAAGGAAAAGCCACGGTCCCGTCTCTAATCAGGTGCAATTACCCCAAAGGGATTAATTGCCATCCTGACAAGAATAACTTCATTGTCACTTTGAATGTACACTGATTGGCGTGCATTGAAATGAAATTACATTGCATACAGCCCTCAAAGAGTCACCACCTCTAATATAAACATAAACATCACAAGATGAGTAAACAAACAAACAAATAAATAAATAAAAAAATTATGCATGTAACCACATATATTATATGACACGGAGAACTAGAACACAGTCTAGTTCGGATGTATACATGTACATGGTGAGAGAAATGAATCTTGCAATTTTACCAGACAGATGGCCTAGGGAACAAAGCTGTTATAGAATCTGAAAGTCCTGCTACAAATACTTCCAAATCTGCCCCCAAGAGGGGAGCAACAGAAACAAACCCACCCCACAGGGTGTGCGGGGTCTCTGACAATGCTTTCAGCTCTAAGCACCTAGCGCTTATAAGCAGTATCCTGAATGACAGGAAACAAGCTTCCTATGATCTTCTCGGCTGTCCTTACCTCTCTCTGTATGGACTTTCTATCTGAGGCACTGCTGCCAACTGCTAATAAAAGTGGAACAAAAATCAAATCAAACAAATAAATTTGCCCAGCTGACTTTGTGGCACACTAGAACTTACAATCTCCCAGTTTCTAGCTTGTTGCGTTCACCACTACATCAAACTAGCTCTCCAGCATGCACTTCAAATATTTTAAAAGCTACACATTGCATCTTTTGCCACTTCAAAGTGTTGGAGGGTTTGGTCTTTCCCTGCCATTTTAAGGGAATTGATCAATTTATTAATTCCCTTTTTTATCTCCTGGTAATCCCTTAATTCATGGTAGAGTCGGATTACCCATGAATATTTTATTGAAGGCAGAAGCTGAGAAGAGGTCAAAAGCTGTTGCTTCTGAAGTAATTCTTCCCCAAATGTACCAAGGCAGTTAACTGTCACTTTGGCCATAATTAAATGGCTGTGAGCTTTCAATCAATCAGGATAGAGCCGGAAAGGACCTTGGAGGTCTTCTAGTCCAACCCCCTGCTCAAGCAGGAGAATTTATATCATTTCAGACCAGTCTATTCTTAAAAAACCTCAGTGATGAAGCACCCACAACTGGTTAATTGTTCTCACTGTTAGGAAGTTCCTCCTTAATTCTAGGTTGCTTGATTAGTTCCCATCCATTGTTTCTTGTCTTGACTTCTAGTGCTTTGGAAAATATGTTGACCCCCCGCTTCTCTTTGTGGAAGCCCCTCAAATACTAGAATACTGCTATCATGTCACCCCTAGTCCTTGTTTTCTCTAGACTAGCTATACCCAATTCCTGCAACCGTCCTTCATATATTTTACTCTCCATGCCTCCAGCTGTCCATGTTGGTTCTTATGCTCTACTCTGTTATTTTTATTTTATTATTAATTTTATTCATTATCTTATCTTATCTTATTTATTTATTTATTTATTTGTTTATATTTATATACCACCCTTCTCCTGAAGGACTCGGGGCGGTGAACAGCCAACAGATAAAACACAAGAAATACAAAATTTAAAACAGTATTAAAATCCAATTAATTTAATTTGGCCCAAAATTAAAAAACCCCTATATTAAAACTGATAATTAACAATTTAAGAATTAAAACAAATTAAACGAGTTAGGCCAGCCCGGCTTGCTGGAATAAAAACGTCTTTAGGGAACGATGAAAGGTGCGAAGATCCGGGATCCGCCGTATCTCTGGGGGGAGCTCATTCCAGAGGGTGAGTGCCCCCACAGAGAAGGCTCTGCCCCTGGGAACCGCCAGTCGACATTGTTTGATTGACAGCACCCTTAGGAGCCCCTCTCTGTGGGAGCGTACTGGTCGGTGGGAGGCTATTGGTGGCAGAAGGAGGTCTCGTAAATACCCGGGTCCTATGCCATGGAGCGCTCTAAAGGTGGTAACCAATACCTTGAAGCGCACCCAGAAGACCCCCGGGAGCCAGTGCAGCTCACGCAGGAGAGGTGTTACATGGGAGCACCGAGTTGCCCCCATAACCACCCGCGCGGCCACATTCTGGACCAGCTGGAGCCTCCGAGTGCTCCTCAAGGGGAGCCCCATGTAGAGAGCATTACAGTAGTCCAGGCGGGATGTGACGAGAGCATGAGTGACCATGCGTAAGATATCCCGATCCAGAAAGTGACGCAACTGGCTGATCAGGAGAACCTGATAAAAAGCCCCCTGGCCACAGCCGTCATATGCTCTTCTAAAGACAGCCGTGCATCCAGGAGGACACCCAAGTTGAGAGCCCTATCTTATCTTATCTTATCTTATCTTATCTTATCTTATCTTATCTTACTTATCTTATCTTATCTTATCTTATCTTATCTTATCTTATCTTATCTTATCAATCTTATCTTATCTATTAATTATAGCCTAAACTGAATCTCGTGGTTTTATAAATATTGTAAGTAAATAATCCCAAAGCTGCTGTTTTTACAAGAGGCAACTGGACTTTCTGGTTTTCTTTGAAGACATTTTGTTTCTCATCCAAGAAAACTCTTCAAAGAAAAAACAGAAAGTCCAGTTACCTCTTGAAAAAAAAAATCACCACCTTTGGGACAACAATGACCTGCATGACTGAGGATCTCAATAGACATGTAAATAAATAACACACACCATGACCTAAAGCCCAAGGAATTAATCTTAAGGCAACTCTCTAAATTGCTCTTCCAGAGAAGCCCAAAATGAATAGGCCAAAGACCTAGACTTACCTCCCTTCCTTGTGCTATTGACTGGGAGACAAGTTCAGATAAGCCCTAGGATTTTCTTTGAAACAAAAGACCAGGAGTTCTAACATTTCCTCAGGAGCCAATCAGACAAGAGCGGTGATAAAATTCCGGGAATTACTGTTGACAGTTGTAAGTAGAAAGGAGCCTTAAATGGCTTGTCCAGGAAAGAGATTACGACAGCAAGGTCTTCTTGAAATAGTTTAGATGAGTTGCCAGAGAGAATTGAATAGTCAATAAAGGAATTTGGAATAAAATCCCAATCTGTTGTAAAGGAACAGAGTCAGACTTTAGCAGGGTATTTCTTTAAGAAGCCTTTAGCCCATCATTTGCAATAGAATTTGCAAGTCGCCCAAAGTTACTTAGTAAGGCAGGGATGTCAAACTGGATTCCTTCGAGGGCTGGATCAACATTGTAGTTCTCCTCCACGGGCTGGCTGGGGCGGGGAGGAGGGAAGACGGGACAGATGCATCCTGTATCACCATTCTGGCCAAAATGGGGTATGGAGGGGCGTGAAGCCCCCTGTGCCCCATTTTGGCCAGCAGAGTGCTGTAGGAGGCTGTCCGGGCTGAAAACAGGGCACAGGGGGGGAATATTGACTGGAATTTTAGGTTTCATTATTAGCCTTTTAATAAACATGATTTTAGCATTTTTTTTGGCATCCTTGCATATCTTCTGAAGTATAGGAAACCATGTTTTTCTTTTTAGTCAAAACAATTTCCTTTGCTGTTCAAAATCTAATCTATTAACTGAATAACAGAGTTGGAAGGGACCTTGAAGGTCTTCCAGTCCAACCCAACAGCACCATTTCAGACAAATAGTTGTCCAATCTCTTCTTAAAAACCTCTGGTGTTGGAAGACCCGCCATTTCTGGAGGCAAATCGTTCCACTGATTAATTGTTCTCACTGTCAGGAAAGTTCTCCTTAATTCTATAGGTTGCTTCTCTCCTTGATTAGTTTTCATCCATTGCTTCTTGTCCTGCTTCAGGTGCTTTGGAGAATAAGTTGATCCCCTCTTCTTTGCAGCAGCCCCTTAGATATTGGAACACTCCTCTCATATCACCCCTAGTTTTTCTTTTCATTAAATTAGACATTCCCAATTGCTGCAACCATTCTTCGTATTCGGACATTAAACATTAGGGCTGCATTCTGACATCCCTGAATATGTAAGTGTTACAAGCCCAGCTGGGAAAGAAGGAGATGCAACACATCGGCATCTGAATCTGAGGGGGAAGATGAACAGCTGACAGAGAGCGAGAGAGTGGCTCCATTGGCTGTGGAGGAAACTGGGGAAGGGCAAACTCAGGCTGGGCAGAGCAGGGGGAGGTAGAACAAGAGAGAGGGGGTTCAGATGAAGAACAAGGCCCACCCCCTCCTCATCCTAGGGCATGCAGGAATGAATGGAGAAGAGAGCAACATGGGTTGCGTGGCTTACGAGGGAGGGAAGGTCCCTGATTCCCTTCACAAGGCACACCTGGGGATGGAATTTAAAGGAGAGGTAAATGGAAGGGTTAGATGTGGGGAACAAACACTGAGTTCATCTTGTGTTAACTGTTTTATCTGAGTTCCTGGCATCCTCCCAACTGGTTTGATTTACTGCCATGCTACTTCGCTCTGGAACTCCTTATCTTGCTTGCTCTGCCGGATTAATTACCTTATCTTGCCTTGTTGGAATTTTAGTTGGAAGTTTTCTGTTTATAAAGTTTGAGACTGAAGTATTGTCAGCTAACGGCTGATACCGTTTTGTGGGAGAGTTTTTCTCCAGACCCGAGAGTAAAAGGAACATTGGGAGCAAAGTTGGATCTAATAAAGGGACTCATACTTATTCTCTGGTGGTGTTCCCTTTGTGCCATGCCCCGGGTCATCACAGCACCTTGGTTCAGATGGCTCATATATAGTAAGATTTATTTCAGGTTTTTTTCTGATTTTATTTATTTATTTATTTATTATTGCGATTTATATGCCGCCTTTCTCCCTGGGGACTCAAGGCGGCTTACAAAATGACAAATTCCAATACAAATCACAATGAAATAAAATTAAAATCAGCGACCCTATTAAAAACAGTTTAAAATTATGACAGTGTACCCCCAAACGGATCAGTTGAATTGACGAAAGAGCCACGTTTTCAGCTTGCGACGAAAGGAAAGAAAATTTCCCCACACTTCTCAAATATTAGGCAAGTTCCATTGAAAGACAGGAAAAAGAGAATGAGAAAGTGTAGGGAAAAAAGCATTGACTTGGCATAGAAGAGAAAAAGGCGAAGGAGAAGAAAGTAGAATTTATGGACTGTTCCCAAACCTCTTTTAGTTCTAAAATAGCTTCAGGTTTTAGGAGCTACCAATGCCATCAGCTACACTGGTTACTTCTAGAGCAACTGCTCAGGTAAAACATTCTGGACAGGTCCCAAAAGTGATTTTTTTTCCCCCCAAAAGCCAATTGGAGTTTCTTGGTATTTTCTTTGAAAACATTTCACTTTTCATCCAAGAAGCTTATTCAGTTCTTCAGAAGCTTCTTAGATGAGAACTGAAACATTTTCAAAGAAAACATCAAGAAAACACCAGTTACAGTGGTGAAATGTAAAATTTGTTACTACTGGTTCTGTGGGCGTGGCTTGGTGGGAGGGTAATGTGACGGAGTGGCCAATTTTTATTTTTTTTTTAACTTTTAAAACCATTTTTTCCACAACCTCTTCGGCTAAAGAGGTTGTAAAAAAATGCTTTTAAAAGCCTCTGACGATCAGGCAACTCAGCCAAAGAGGTTGTAGAAAAAATGCTTTTAAAAGCCTCTGATGATCCCAGCTGAGTTGCCTGATTGTCAGAGCCTCTTTTTTTTTTTTACTTTTAAAAGCATTTTTTCAGCCGAAGAGGTTGTAGAAAAAATGCTTTTAAAATTTTTTTAAAAAGCCTCTGATGATTGCTGGGCATGAAGGGGGGCAGGGATTTTTGCTACCAGTTCTCCGAACCACCCGCCACCATTGCTACCAGATTGGCAATCAAATCCGAACCGGGAGCATTTCACCCCTGACCAGTTACCTTTTGGTGGGGAAAAAACCCCACCTTTCGGACAATCATGACCTGGATGATTGACAAACTTCATAGACTATCTGGACGGGTGAGCATTTTAGATACAACTAAGCAGCTATTTTGGTCTACGGTTAGAAGAATCATAGGTGAGAACTTGGTCTCCCTTTGTCAAACTTATCAGAAGTTAGAAAAAGGAAGGAAAGGGGGACTTTGAGAAGCCTAGCTCCTTCCAATGTCATTATCGGAGAATCAGAAGGAATAAAATAGCTGAAGCCAAAATTCTACTATTTTGCACTGTAAGGGAAAATGCTGAAAGCATCTCAAGGCCAGTGCTTCCTGTTATTCATGGCATTATGCAAATGAATGCCTGGAGGGCTGCTACAAATCTGGAACTGAGGCAGCTTGGAACAGATGGGGCAAACAGACTATAGACAGGAGACGATGAAAATAATCTTCAGGAAGCAACCGCATGAAAGCTCTGGATATTTGTAATGATAATAAATGGAACTGATGACCATGTCCAATTTGGAAAGGGTGCATGCAGTGTTTCTCCACCTTGGGAACTTTAAGCAGTGTGGACTTCAACTCCCAGAATTCCCCAGCCAGCATGGTGGATTTCCCTAGCTGGTGCGGACTTCAACTCCCAGAATTCCCTAACCAGCATGGTGGATTTCCCTAGCTGGTGTGGACTTCAACTCCCATAATTCCCTAACCAGCATGGTGGATTTCCCTAGCTGGTGTGGACTTCAACTCCCAGAATTCCCTAACCAGCATGGTGGATTTCCCTAGCTGATGTGGACTTCAACTCCCAGAATTCCCCTAACCAGCATGGTGGATTTCCCTAGCTGGTGTGGACTTCAACTCCCAGAATTCCCCAGCCAGCATGGTGGATTTCCCTAGCTGGTGTGGACTTCAACTCCCAGAATTCCCTAACCAGCATGGTGGATTTCCCTAGCTGGTGTGGACTTCAATTCCTTAGACAGCATGGCTGAGTTGAAGTCCACAAAGCTTAAAGTTTCCAAGGTGAAGAAACATTGGTCTATAGAAAAACAAAGGAAAAAAGAGATGGGAGGGATAGAAATATATGTATAGAGAGAATAAATTTATTCCAATTTTGTCCTTCCTGTAACACACACCACCCACCACCATTGAGGTTCATAAGTCATTTTGAGGGCCCTCAAGTTTTTCTTGCAATGCAGAACACATTGGGCTACAATAAAATCTTCAAAAGAAAGAGCTACATTGCAATGAAAATTGCAATGCTATGTCCTTCAGAGATGGGGGTGGGGAGAAGAGAGAGTGTTAGAAAATGATCAGATAAGAGTGAGTGAGCCCACAGCTGTATAACGGCATGAAAATTAGTCCAGAAAGGATTCTTCCTAACTTATCAGGCTGTTAAAAAAAGAGGGTGAGAGATTTGTACTTTTAGACTCCCAACACTGCATTAACGTAGCCTTACAATAAAGTATATAGAGGTCATAAGCAAGGAATAGGTAAATTTTCTGTTTTACTTTGTTCGGTTTCTCATGTGACCAAACACAATTACATATATACATATACTAGCTGGATACCCATGCTTCACTACAAAACTATGTGATTGGGCATGATAAATTGAACTAACCAGTTCTGGAGTAACACCCAGGTAGATTCCACAACGGATGTCCCTCTCATTGTCATCACCACCAACAAAGTATATCTGGAGAAATGAAGGCTGCTGCTGAGGCCCCGCCATGATACTCCCTACCCTGTGGTAGACCTGCCCCTGCCCTTTGAAGGTTGATATATTTAGCTGTAGCTGCCCGATTAACATAGGGGTTATTAGATGCGTATTCTTTTTACAGCCTCTCTACTGACTTTGACGATAGTTTTTTGCAGCTTCCCTTACTTGTGTTTTCCTAATTGCATCTGTGAATCTTTTCTTGCATTTTTTTCTCCCCTCTTTTCCCTTTAACTGGTGTTACAGTAGAAGGAACAGATTCATCTGAACTGAGGAGGTCA